GCCTCCAATCCAGCGCAGCTAAACTACGGCGTGGCAGTGACTGACACTGACGGCGATGGCAACTTTGAGTTCGTCGTGGCTGGATATGGAGCCGCCAACCAAGCCTTCGAGTGGGACGGGAGCAGCTACCAGGATATTGCGCTCAGCAGCCCGACCCTCCAGGACGCCGAGCACCGCGCCATTGGTGTGGCTGCGTGTGACATTGACGGCGACGGGCACGAGGAGTTGTATGTGCTCAACACGGACCAGTACTCGGGCTCGACCTCAACGTCAGACAAGCTGATCGACTTCGACGACGCGAGGAGGGAGCACGTCGAGCTCTTCGCCCTCCCACAGAACCAGGGCACCGCTAATTACGTCGCTGGACGCTCGTGCGCCTGCGTCGATCGGCACGCAGATGGTAAATTCGGGATCATGGTTGCAAATTATGGAGGTGCGATGAAGCTCTTCGAGGCTGGCAGCGACGGGCGTACGCTCATAGACGTGGCGCCAGAAGCGGGGGTCGATCTCACGACGGGAGGGCGAGCTCTCGTGGCCGGCCCGATCCTCTCCTCCAACGTGGACATCTTTGCAAACAACGAGGGTTGGAATGGTGGGCGGCAGTTGGCCGCGCGAGAAGGCACGGTGAATACCAGCGCACATCGACACAGGCGGCGGCTGGGACACAGAGCCAACTTCATGTTTAGGAACAACGGCGACGGCACCTTTAGTGACATGGCTCAAGCAGTGGGGCTCGACGACCCAAACTACACTGGGCGCGGGACAGCACTGTTTGATGCAAACGGAGACGGCCTCGTGGACATCGTCTACGGGAATTGGAACGGAGAGCACCGGCTGTTCGAGCAGTCACGCGACACAGCGGGTGGGGCGAGCTTCACGGACAAGGCCCCTGCCGCCATGGCCGAGGCGTCCCCTATACGAACCGTCATCGTCGCCGACTTTGACAACGATGGATACGAGGAGATATTCTGGAACAACATACCCGGAGAGAATCGGCTCTTTCGCCGGCTTCCTACCGACGAGGACTGGACCCTCATCAACGCTGGCGCCGCCGTGGACACTGACGGCCACGGCACCGGCGCCGCTGTGGCAGACCTGGATGGCGACGGGCTGCTTGAGCTGTTGGTGAGCCACGGAGAGTCTCAAGCGCAGCCGCTCTCGCTCTTCAGCCCGGCGCTTGGCCGCGACAACCATTACTTGCGAGTGATGCCGCTGACCACGCACGGCGCTCCTGCGCGCGGTGCTGTGGTTAGGCTAACGGCTTCGGGCCGCACGCAGATGCGCATCATCGACGCTGGCTCGGGATATCTTTGCCAGATGGAGCCCGTCGCTCACTTTGGGCTTGGACCTGTCACGGCCGTAGAGTCTATTGACGTGGTTTGGCCCGGAGGCACTTGCCTTCATGTCCAGAGGCCCGCCGTCGATGAGCTTCACACGGTGCCGTTTCCCGACGGTCAGAGAGCCTCCGATGGCTGCGTGGAGCTTTCTCCGAGGGCGCGAACACGCAAGTCGGTGGCAACGACACTGGCATGGTCCATCCCGATGAGCCCAGGCGAGATGACGGCCGAGGTCGGACAGGTCATCACCTTTGCGTGGAGTGGCTATCACAATGTGGTTATGTCACTCTCGAAGACAGACTTCGACAGCTGCGTGCTAGACGGGCAGCAGCTGGTGGCACCGTCAAGCGGAGGAAGGCTGTCCATCACAATGGATCAACCAGGCACGTTTTACTACATCTGCTCGGTGGGGTTCCACTGCATGGCCGGTCAAAAGATCGCGATCACCGTGGCAGGACCCCTATTGCCGTCGCCGCCGCCGCCGCCGCCGCCGCCCTCCATCGCAGCCATCGTGGCGGCGAGCCCATCGCACCAGACCCTCGAGGCCGCGCTCGTCGCCGCTGAGCTCGTCGGCGCACTCGACGGCGACGGCCCCTTCACCGTCTTCGCTCCGACGGACGCCGCCTTCAGCGCGCTGCCCGCCGGCACCCTCGACGCGTTGCTCGCCGACCCGTCCGGCGCGCTGACGAGCGTGCTCCTGTACCACGTCGTCTCGGGGCAGGGCGTGCTGTCGACACAGCTCACGAGCGGCGAGATCGCGACGGCCGCCGGCGAGATGGCGGTGGCTCGAGTCACGAGCTCGGGCGTCTTCATCAACGATGCACAGGTGACCGTCGCCGACATCATTGCGCGCAACGGCGTGGTCCATGTCATCGACAGGGTGCTCACGCCGCCGCCGTCGCCGCCGCCCTCCATCGCAGCCATCGTGGCGGCGAGCCCATCGCACCAGACCCTCGAGGCCGCGCTCGTCGCCGCTGAGCTCGTCGGCGCACTCGACGGCGACGGCCCCTTCACCGTCTTCGCTCCGACGGACGCCGCCTTCAGCGCGCTGCCCGCCGGCACCCTCGACGCGTTGCTCGCCGACCCGTCCGGCGCGCTGACGAGCGTGCTCCTGTACCACGTCGTCTCGGGGCAGGGCGTGCTGTCGACACAGCTCACGAGCGGCGAGATCGCGACGGCCGCCGGCGAGATGGCGGTGGCTCGAGTCACGAGCTCGGGCGTCTTCATCAACGATGCACAGGTGACCGTCGCCGACATCATTGCGCGCAACGGCGTGGTCCATGTCATCGACAGGGTGCTCACGCCGCCGCCGTCGCCGCCGCCGCCCCTGCCGCCGCCGCCGCCGCCCTCCATCGCAGCCATCGTGGCGGCGAGCCCATCGCACCAGACCCTCGAGGCCGCGCTCGTCGCCGCTGAGCTCGTCGGCGCACTCGACGGCGACGGCCCCTTCACCGTCTTCGCTCCGACGGACGCCGCCTTCAGCGCGCTGCCCGCCGGCACCCTCGACGCGTTGCTCGCCGACCCGTCCGGCGCGCTGACGAGCGTGCTCCTGTACCACGTCGTCTCGGGGCAGGGCGTGCTGTCGACACAGCTCACGAGCGGCGAGATCGAGACGGCCGCCGGCGAGATGGCGGTGGCTCGAGTCACGAGCTCGGGCGTCTTGGCCGCTTCAAGACGAGCGCCATGGCCGAGGGCGCGATCGAAGGCGCGCAGCTGTGCGGATACAGGGTGGCGTAAAGTCTTGTGTCATCTGACTCGCGCTCCGTGCGTGTGCGCAGGCAGTGCGGCCATGTACGAAGTGGCATCGCCCTACGAGACCCACTTTGCGTTCTCGCGCTTCGAGGCCGATGAGGCGGCAGACCCCAGCAAGGAGCTGGAGGGGGAAGCCGACGCCTCCGCCTTTGTTTAAGCCTTTGAGGCCGCGATGGAAGAATGAGCAGCTCACCTGAGCACACTCGAGACTGCCTCTGGCGGCGTGCGGCGTGTGTGGTGTGGTGTGTATCGCGCGGGGGGGTCGTGTTCGGTGTTGCGCGTGTGCGAGCACCACAGAGAGGGGCGAACCATGAGCATGACCCGACACCCGTCTCGGCCAGCGCGATGATAAATAAGAAAACGGACACCTCTACTGTGAGATGGGTGAAAAGGAACAGGTCCCCGCCCGTGCGATCTTTGTGCAGGGTTCTTTGTGGGTGTGTGGTCGGCGACTAGCCGGGGTCGTCCTCCCGGTGGGGGACTAGCACTAGCCGTCTAGCACTAGCACTAGCCGTCTTCCACATGGTCCCTCGGGTCCCTGCTACTCTTAATGTCTTCGTACATCCTCCTGCTGATCTCCGCAACGTCCTGCTCCCTCCCTCGTCTCGCCCTGCGCGTCTGCTCCGCCTCCCCGTCGTCTGCCCTGCGTCGTCTGGCGACGGGTCATCCATAGTCGGTTGAGGTCGCCGCCCTCCTCGTGCCTCTTCCCAACATTCCCTCGGCGGCCGATGCCGTCTGCTCCGACTCCCCCATCTCCGGGTCTGCCCTGCTCTCGCCTGCGCTAGTTTCTGTTTCGTCATCACCGATGTCCGTCCTCTTCTTTCTCCTCTTCTTGTATGCTTTGTACATCGCGTCGATTCCTTTTCTCGTGAGCACCACCCTGAAGCCCGCCCAGCAGCTGAACCGCTCCCTAAGTCGAAGGAGCATCATCAGTCTCACCCACTTCGCTCGCTGCCCACTGTCTCCGCTCCCTCCCGCTTGAGCTGCCATCGCGGCCCTCGTCTTCGTCCCACTGGCTGCTGGCCTGTCCGCACGTTACCTCCGTTATCCCTCCTCCTCCGCGACTCCCTCAAGGCCGACCGGGCCTCCTCCCACCCAGCGAAGAGCTTCCTCAGCCACTCGATGTGTTCCTCTCTCTTCATTATGCGCGCGGTAGCCTCATCGTTGAGCTGGATCCACCTCTGCACCGCTCCCGTCGCCGCCTCGGCCACGACTTGCAAGTTCCTCGTGACCCCGGCGCCAAGGTCCCTCCGGCTCTTCTCCGAGCGGTCATCTACCAGTGCTGGCAACACCCCCCCGACTGCGGGGGCTAGCGCATCGTACCCGTCCTCATCCAGCACCCTATAGCGTGAGCCCTTCAGCGCAGCGACATGCGCCATCCTCAGCGTCTTCAGCGTATCCTTGGAGTCGGGTGCCGCCTGTGCTACTTTGCTGATCGCCGTCCCCGTCTGCGCTCGCGCTACTCTGAGGAACCATCTGGCCTGCTCCCTATTCCCCAGGCAGGCGCTGCTAAGCAAGTGCGCCATTGTCGCTCTAGGCGGGTTCTCATCTTCCTCGGTCCATTGCTGCGCGGCTTTCCGCATAGCCGCACGATCGGACACAGCGGGTCCGCTTTAGTGCCGCCCTCCTCGCCTGCTAGCTGCCGCACCCGCGCAGCACCCGCGCTCCCATGACGGTCTTTGTCACCACGTTATGATCATCCACGTCGGCGAATTCAATCTCGCGCTCGCCGTGCTGATCCTTGATCCGCTGACGCTTGTCCCATTTGTGTCTCGTTGTTCCCCTGACCACATCGCTCCACAGCGGCCCAGTCACACCCCCGCCGTGTGCGACCCCGCCGTGAGCCCCTCGCCGAGCCGTGCCAAAGTGAAAGAAAAAATATCTTCACGCCTTCTTTTTTTCTGTGATGCGTCAGACCGTCGCGGCCGTGGTGGGCTCCTTCCGGCTCACCTCTATCACTTCCCTTCGCCACGCAGCGAGCTCGGCGCGCAAGTCGAGCCGATCGTCTGTCGCGCCGGCGTGCCCCGCGCCCTCGACGTAGACGCACCGGCAGCGCGACACCTTGCAATCGAGAGGAACCCTGAAAAGGGTTGCTGGGTTCGATGTATCCGAGATGTAGCCGAGACAGGTCGAGACGCGGCCGAGAGAGGGTTCAGAAGGGTCGAGACAGGGTGGAGATGAGGCCGCGTGACTCAGACCTCGCGCTCGAAGCGTCGAGCCTCGTCCGCGGCAGGCACGCGGAGGTCGGCTGTCCCGGCCACGCACAGCACCGGGACCTGCAGCTCGGCCACCCGTCTGCCGGCGGCGAACGTGGGCTCCGCCCAGCCCTTGCGGTGCGAGGCCGTCGCCGGGGAGAGGGCGAGTCTTGCCGGCAGCGCGGTGACGACGCGCCAGGCGTACTTCGTCCGCGCCTCGCCGAGCAGAAGGGGCGACTTCTCTCCGGTGAGCAGCCGTCGGAAGGTGGATGCGACCTGCGCGGCGCCGAGCAGCTCGTGCGATTATAGCCGAGGTGCGGCCGAGGTGCGGCCGAGGTGCGGCCGAGGTGCGGCCGAGGTGCGGCCGAGGTGCGGCCGAGGTGCGGCCGAGGTGCGGCCGAGGTGCGGCCGAGGTGTAGCCGAGGGAGGGAGACCTGCGCGGCGTCGAGCAGCTCGTACGAGCTCAGCGTGAGGACTAGCTGGAGCAGAGCCGGCCACGGGCCGCGGTTCGAGACCAAGACAGAGTCTCTCCAGGTCAGGATCCGGTAGCCGAGCTTGCGGTGCCAGCCGGTCGCGGGGGAGACGAGCAACAGGCCGGACAGCTCCTGCGGCACGTCGAGCGCGACGTCGATGGCGACCCCGGACCCCATCGACTCTCCCAGCAGGAAGAGCTCGCGACCCTCGCCGACCGACCGCACCTCTTGCGACACGAGCGCCACCAGGTCGGCGTGGCTCGAGCGGTCGCCGGCCGGCACGCAGAGGGCGCGCACCGCGTACTCTTGTGCGAGCGACGGGAACTGCATCCACGCGGTGATTCCAGAGCCGTCCGCTCCAGGCAGCACGAGCAGGAGCGGCAGGGTGCCTGCGTCTGGGCGGGGCTCGTCGAGGCCAAACTCGAGGCAAGGGTCGAACCAGAACGGCGCATCCGCGGTGGCTGCCATGCGAGCCGTCCGGGCGCGAGCCGGCGTCGGGCTGCCGTACGCCAACAGCGCACCAGCCTGAAGGAGCCACATCCGGCGTTGTCGAGGGGCTACCTGCCAGCACGTGTTGATGCACGAGAGCACGCGTGGCGTACGCGAGGCGTCCGGTTGTGCGTAGGAGACAGTCTACAGATTGGCGGTCGCAGAATTCTTTTATCGATCAACACTTTCGATAGACCGAAAGTAAGATCGTTCGGTGCAGAAACCCCGGCCATGCCCATGTAACGCAATTGTGCTCGACTTTTTTGATTTTTTGGTCGAGAAGTGTCTCCAAGTCTTCTGGACCCATCGATGGCCGTCGCCTCGACGCCGCTCGTCGCGGCACCATCGTGCCCGGCCTGGGCGAAGCATCGTCGCGGGCGCCAGCCGCAGTTCGACGGCAAGCCGTGCGAGCCTGCCGAGGAGGAGGACATGTGGCTGTGCCTGGCCGACGGCCGCGCGCGCAGCACCGCCGACCTGAAGCGCCTGGCGACAGCCGCTCGGGTGCGAGCGAAACGAGCAGGAGATGCAGCCGCCGCGAACACGCGCGATCGGCAGGCGCGCGACCAGCGCCGCCGGCAGCGTGAGCAGCACGACCGGCGCGCAGCGCCGGCGGTCGCCAAGACCGTGCGCCCACAACGCGGCCAGTGCGGCTGCCCGGCGCACGCGGTGTGCGGCATGTGCGTCGACCAGGGCAAGCTCGCCGCGGCCGAGCAGGCGGCCATCGACCTGGAGACGCGCTTCCACGCCTCGACGAACGTCGTCATGGACCTGGAGCGGCCCGAGGACGAGACGGCGGCGCTGCTGCAGCGCTGCGTGCACGTCTCCGACGAGACGAAGCGGCGGCTGCTGGGCGAGTGGAGCGACGAGCGCATGGCGCACGCGCTGCCGCTGCACGCATGCGCCTCGTGCGGCGTGCGGGACCCGTCGCTGACGTACACGCGGGTTGACGTGTCGGCGCTGCCGCGTACTGTGTCTGTGCGCGTAGCCGGCGGCGAAGACGAGACGCGGCACGTGTTTGAGCTCTCGCCCGAGCAGTGCGCTAAGTATCGAGGTCTTCAAAACAAAAAGGTGCGCCTTGCGTTTCCCAACGGCGCGAGCAACGACCGAGAAAAGGAGTTGCGGTGTTGATCGCCGCGGGAGCCCTCTTATCCTCCTGCCTGCCTGCGCTGTTGGAGGGTCTGTGGTCTCGGTGGAGCTTCCCAGGATTTCGCAAAAAAAGAAAAACAGGCACGCACCGCGCCTCCACTCCCATCCCTCCCTTGTGAGGACATCTTTCTTTTTCCCTCTGCCTCGCGGAGAAAGCGCGGCTGCGGCGAATAGCAGGCAGGTTTGCCGCCCACCGGCTGGCCATTCGGACGTCGGACATGTGTCTCCTCTTGCTCAAGTGTTGGTGGTCGATGGTCTCGCGGATCGGCTCTCGCCGGCTGTGCGCCGCAGCACGGTTCCTCATTCCGCGGTATCGATCGACGCTCTTCTTCTCGGAAGTGCCACCAGGTGGATGCGCTCGCGTGGCACTCACCATCGACGACGGGATCTGCCGAGGCGAGGCCGCAGACTCTCTCGCGCCGGCGGTGGTGGAGCTGCTACAGCGACACGGCGCTCGCGCAACCTTCTTTGTGTGCTCCGACTACTGCTCGCCCGACGCGGCCGCCGCCCTGCTGGCGGCAGGCTGCGAGCTCGGCAACCACCTGAAGCGCGATCAGCCATACGCACTCGCCGCCGCAGACGCGTTTGAGGCGGATCTGCTCGAGTGCGATGAGCTCATCCGCCGCTGCCACGCAGAGACGCCGCCGCCGACCGGCGCGGCGGAGCGCGGCCGCTGGTACCGCTCACCGCAGGGCGTGCTGACACGCCGCATGCGCGACGTGCTCGCCCGGCAGCGCGGGATGGTGCACGTTCTCGGCGACGCCTACTGCGACGACTGGGCGGTGGACGACCCGGCCTTCATCTCGCGGACGCTGCTACGGATGGCGCAACCAGGCTCCATCATAATCATGCACATGCCGGAGGCAAAGTGTCGCCGCTGGTGCCTGGACGCGCTGCGGCTGCTGCTCGAGGGGCTGGGCGAGCGGGGCCTCGCCTGCGTGACGCTCTCGGAGCTGGCGGCCAGCTAGCTAGTAACTAAGCTTAAAAGCTAGCTTTTTTACTGCTGTTAAAAGACGACGAACAAACAGGGTGGTGCGCGCGAGAGGCAGAGGGGTCGCCCCGAGGCGCCCAGGGCGCGCGGGATAAGCTCGGCTCGCAGGCGTTGGAGGGTAACTAAGTGCCTCACCGCCGCACACCGGCGGTGCACGAGAGCGCCGACGCGGTCGGGGGGACGAGGCCGCGCCGCGGGTCGGCGGCGCAGAGCACGCCAGGCGGCGCGCAGCGCCAGCTGGAGCCTGGAGAGAGTGCCCCTGCGCGGTAAGTGAGTGACCGAGAGACGATCTCCGGTGCTCACCCGGGGACCCGGCACGGCGTGTGCCTCCTCCTCCTACTCAGACACTCAGGCACTCAGGCTTCACTCGGCCCAGATCTGGTTTAAAAGGACCCGATTTGGAATTTGTACCTTCTTTCTCGCTCTCCTGTTTACATACATATTCTAAGGTACTTATTTCTTCTCGCTTCTGAGTTGTTTTGCATTTGGGCGCGGCGGAGGAACGGCACACACGGCACACGGTATTTTCGCGACGTTCTTCGCTGCCCCTGCCGCCGTCCCTTGCCATCCGTCCGCCACGGTGCCGCTCGCGCGCGCCCGCCGGGCGGCGCCAACATAGTGTTGGAGTCGAGGTACCAGACGCCATCAACCTGCTCTGCGCCCTGAGCAAAGTCGAGGGCCTTTTCCCTCTCGGCCCGAGCCTGGGCGGCAGCGGCCTGGCGCGTACTGGGAGAGAAGGGAGAGGGGGCTGCCTCTCTCTCTCAGTGTACGTACTTTTAGCTTACTGGGAGAAAAGGGAGAGGGGGTTGTGTTCTCTAGGCCCCTAAGGGCCCTACGCGCGGCGTGAGAGCTCGGAAGCGAGCTTTGCACGGCGATCGAGGATGGCGCGGTTCACACCGCCCTTCAGCCTTCACCGAAGCGAACAAAACACAAATGACGTGTGAGTGTTCGAGTTTTTTGGTATTGAACGGATCTTACGCCGCCTGTAACCACTCTTTAAAGGTATTGCTAAAAATCTCTCTCTCTCCGGAGCAGAGAGATTTTTGAAAACCGAAGCGATGCCGATGGAGATGCGTTTTGGCCTGGTACACGTTATTCTTCCGATTCTATATTCCTTTTCGAAGCGATTTTCAGAGAGAGAGCTCTTCGGCTGAGGGCTAACAAGCTGCCGAGCCCAAATCACTGTGAGAGTCGTGATCTTGATTTTCAGCGATTTTCAGCTGGAATATGAAGAATATTTGAGAATATAGATAGATCTATTTGGAGCTGTATTCTTGTCATATTCGAGAATATAGACCCTGTTTTGGACAAGAATACGGAAAGAATACGGAAAAAGAATATAGATAGTACTTAGGCGAGAAAACGTGTACAGACAGGCCAAGCATGCGTTTTCCGCGTGGTGTGACACAAACGAGAGGCGGGAGTGGGGAGGGTACGCGATGCGGTCAACGCCCGAGCGTTGAGCCTTGCGCGCAAGGCGGTTGATCTTTCTGTATGCGGCTCTTAATAGTTCATAAAGAAAGAAAGAAAACAGACACGCCAAACGAGGGATGGGACGAGGACAGGGTCCCCACCTGCACGAGCAGGATTTTGGAAGAACGATCAGGGGGATAATAGTTCAGAAAGAAAGAAAGAAAGAAAACATACAACCCAAGGGAGGGATGGGAGAACGGCACGCCGCCACCACACAGGGATTTTTTAAGGAGAGGAGTGTGATGCGCTAGCCGTCGCCCACCCTGGGGAGTCTGCCTCTTCGTATCTCTTTTCGCAGTCTCTCGCCGCTTCTCGCTGCAACCTTCATGCCACCTCGCGGCCGTCCCACTCTCGTCGTTCTCTCCCTTGTCGCTTCCTCCTCTGTCGCGTCGTTCTCTTCTGCCTCGTCCTGCGGCGCCGCCGCCTGCCGGTCCCTTGTTCTCGCGGCTTCTTTCGTCTTCCTTTCGGCGTAACTCCGTCCTCCTCGCGGCGTATCCTGGCCCCTCAAGTCTATCGAGCTCGCCTCGCGCAAGGACCACATTTCTGACTCCCACTCCGATCATTTGCCTCCAGGTCATGTTGTTGCTCAGGTCCACTCTCTCTTCGAACACTCGATAATAGTTCATTCCCGTGCAAATAGAGCCGCCTCAGGGTATTTTATTTTAGTATTTTAGAGATTAGAGAAAATCCCGCCGTCTAACTGCCATGTCACGGCCGGTCGGCTGCAGCTCTCGCCTCGCTGGCGGCGCGGTCTGGTGCCGCGGCGCCCAGCTCTCCTGTGGGCTCGCGGCGGCTCGCCGCCGCGGTGCCGAACAATGTGATCAGTCCGGATTCGTCCCGGCGTGCCGCCGGTGCCACTTCTTCGCCGAAATTTTGCTCGACCTGTTTGTCGACAAAGTTGCCTCCGAGCTCCTGCTGCTCGACTGCGCGGCGGAACCGGCCCATCGCGGCTGAGACGTGATGCGCCGGCACCGGGGCAACGGCGCGGGACCATCCAGGCTCTCTCGAGCAACCTCAAATTTGGCTGATTTTGTGGATCTCAACCCTGCTGCTCTCTGACCACAACCTCGCGGCCCGCTGCGCGGCTCTCCGAGCGCGAGAGGAGTCGTCTACGAGGCGGCGGCGAGCGCAGGCGGCGGCGGCGCGGCGGCGCGGCGGCGGATCGCGGCGCAGACAACGGCAGCAATCTGGCTGCTGATTGCTGCTGCAGCAGCTGCTGCTGCGGCTGCTGCTCCGCTGCCGCTGATTGTGGACACGATTCCCCCGATAACCCTGCCCGCCCGCTCCGCCCCGCCCGCCCGCCGCTCCCCGCTTGCTCGCCCGCCCGCCCGCCCGCCCGCCCGCCCGCCCGCCCGCCCGCCCGCCCGACCACCCATTCCCATCACCTTCTCACATACCTTCATATAGGCGCTCGAGACCTCCTCTCGCTGCCTACTCGCTGCCTCGAGGGAGGAGGGGAAGACGTAGGGCTGCATGCGCGCCTTCCAACGGAGGCCCCTCCCCGAAAGGCAAGTGTTAGCCACAAGAAACCGAGACCCCTCCCCACCGCCCTGATCCCCCCACCCCCTTGCTCCCCTCCCCCCCTCGGGAGGGCCGAACTGAGGCGCCCGTGGGGACCCCGCACTTCCCTTCCCCCCTCGGAGGGCCGGACTGAGGCGTCGAGGGCCCCGCTCTTTCCCTCGCATAGCGGCCACTCTTCGGATCGCTGGTCGAGCGACCCGGGGGATGCCCCGCGCGCCTGACCCAGGCGCGAAAACGAATCTGCGAGGCGTGGCCGCTCACGCGGCCCGATGGGGAGGAACGGGGCGAGCCCCCTCCAACCCACCCGCGCTAGGTCCTGGGTGACGTAGGGGAAACCCGGCGAGCCTCGGGAACTAGCCGGGGCAGTCGGAGAAGGGGCAACTCCGTGCACTGACGGTCGGCCGTCAGAAAACACGCCTCCGTGGCTCGGGTTACACCAATCCTCGCTACCCAACGCGGCCAAAGGATATCCACCTCGAGAACCTCGAGACGGTATTTTATTCGACCCGACTCGCCCGATTTTCCGTCTGCTTGCGAGGATGGCCGAAGTCTCCCTCGCTCAGGCCACCTGCAAATTCATCGACGAATGCCCGACTCCCTTCCACCTCTGCGCCGAGACGGGCGCGCTGCTAAAGGCGGCGGGCTTCACCGAGATTGCGGAGGACGGCGCTTGGCGGCCTCTACTGAAGCCCGGCGGCAGCTACTTTTATACACGCGCCGGCACGACGCTGGTGGCTTTCCACGTCGGCGCGGCCTTCGAGGCGGGGAACGGTATTAACGTCGTCGGCGGGCACACAGATAGCCCCGTGCTGAAGCTCAAGCCGTCTTCGAAGAAGAGCGCTCACGGCTACCTGCAGTTGAACGTCGAGACGTACGGCGGCGGGCTGTGGCACACGTGGTTCGACCGCGAGCTCACCCTCGCGGGCTCGGTGATCGTCAAGCAGGCTGACGGATCGTTCGCCCGCCGCCTCCTCTTTGTGCGCCGGCCTCTGATGCGGGTGCCGCAGACACTTCCGAGACACCTTCCCTCGCCGCCCGTCCGCCCGCCACCGTCTCCAACCCGCCGCTTGCACGTCCACACGCCTACCCAACCTCCGCCTCCGCTCTGCCGCCCTCGGCACGTCCACCGACGCGCCCGCTGGACACGTCCACGACACTGACGCGCCCGCTGGACACGTCCACGACGCACCCGCAGGTGCCGAGCCTCTGCATCCACCTGCGCACCGCCGAGGAGAGGGAGAAGTTCGCACCAAACAAGGAGACGCACCTCGCGCCGATCCTCGCGTGCGCGGTGAGCGAGGCGCTCAACGCCGACAAGCCGTCCGCCTCCTCGCTCGGGGGGCGCCATGCGCCCGAGCTGCTGCGGGTCATTGGGGAGGAGCTCGGCTGCGCTCCAGGCGCTCTCCTCCCGGCCCTCTCTCCAGCGCCTCCCTCTGCCGGCGCCTCTCGCTAGCGCCTCTCTCGCACTCTCCCTGCGACCTCAGGCGACGTGCTCGACTTCGACCTCACGCTGTGCGACACGCAGCCGTCCGCGACGTGGGGGCTGGCGAGATCTAGCCGAGATCAGCCGAGATTAGCCGAGATCAGCCGAGACTACGCCCGCGATTGGGGAGTGGCGCCGCGCGTCTCTGCCTGCGCTGCGCGTCGTGGACGTGTCGTGGACGTGTCCGGTAGGCGGACGAGTTTCTCTCTGCGCCGCGACTCGACAACCAGCTCACCTGCTACCTCGCCATGCTCGCGCTGATCGACCACGCCAAGGAGGCGCCGCCCTCGCAGCCGGACGTGGCGATGATCGCCCTGTTCGACCACGAGGAGGTGGGTTCTGGCTCGGCGCAGGGCGCCTGCTCGACGGTGAGGAACGTCGCGCTGCAGCGGGTCTCGGAACTTTCTCGGACCCTCCTCGGACCCTTCCCGCAGGTGATGAGCGACGCGCTGCAGCGGGTCTCGTCCTGCTTTGCGCCCGACGAGCGACACGCGAGCGTGGAGGCGCTCAGCAAGACGGCGCGGCGCTCCTTTCTGATGGCCGCGGACCTGGCGCACGCCGTCCACCCAAACTACGCAGAGAAGCACGAGAAGGCTCGCGCGGCGGAGTCGACCAGGGCGTGGCCGCCATTCACACCGCACGTCAGTGGCTGGTGTGTGATCAGGAGCGCGCCATGCTTACCCCTCTCTATCTCACGAGGTGAAGGCGTGCCTCACTTTCTTTTTGTGTGTCTGCAGGAGCACGCGCCCAAGCTCAACAGCGGGACCGTCATCAAGTCGAATGACAACCAGCGCTACGCCACGAACGACGCGACCGGCTTCGTCGTGCGAGATAGAGCCGAGATAGAGCCGAGATAGTGAGGCCGTTGAAATCTGCGCGGACTCTTCCAAGACACTCCCAAGACTCCGTGGCTGCGTAGACACTCTCCCTAGACACTCCAGCACTCTCCGGACACCCCCTTGACAGACAGTGCCCACGCGCCCAGACACCCTCGCGCGGCTCCTCCTCGGGTCATCGCGTGCAGCCTCGCGTCAGCCTCGCGCCCGCTTGCAGGTGCGTGAGCTCGCGCGGCTCGCCGGGCTGGCGGTGCAGGAGTTCATGGTCAAGAACGACTGCCCGTGCGGCTCCACCATCGGCCCGCTCATCTCGCAGTCGGTGAGGGGAGCATCTTCAAACACACTCCCGCGGAGCCCCCTCTCGCCAGCCCTGTGCCTCGAGTCTCACGCCTTTGGCCCTGTCGAGTTCTGCCTCCCCCCCCCCCTCACCTCTCGCTCCCCCTCCTTCTCTTCGTAGACCGGGCTGCGCACCGTCGACATCGGCGCGCCCTGCCTCTCGATGCACTCGATCCGCGAGACGGTGCGGGTCACACTTGGAGCGACACACAGACACTCCAGATAAGGCACTCAGCCAGCGGGGCATGTCACAGGTCGGTGTCGCCGACGTCGAGAACTACCTCCAGCTGATGAAGGCCTTCTTCGGCCGGTTCGCGGAGCTCGAAGGCAAGTGCAACTTCGGCCTCGAATTTGGCGCCGTCCGGCTGGCCTCGATGAGCGTCTGCCAGCCGTCCGTGAAAGCACCGGCGGCGTGACCCCGCGGGTGCGCGCGGCGGTGTGGGTGGTGACGCGCCGGGCTTGGGGGTGGCTTGCAGAGGCTACCGTTGGCTGGCAAAGATACTGACGGTGGGCGCGAGAGACAGAGACGAGAGAGAGAGCCAGAACGCGAGAGACATAACTCATAAAAAGGTGCTAGGTGCTACGCCGGCCATAGGACTTAGGATCCCATTTACGGTTAAGCGGATGCCTGCTAGTGCTTTCTCCCCTTTTCGCTTTTGCACTCCTCGTACGGCTTTACAACATATCAAAGACGCCCCGTGGAATCCAATGCGCGCGCGTAGCTATGAAAGGGACCGCGGCCGCGGAACCGGCGGCGGACGGGGCTGGCGCGCAAGCGCCGGCCACCGTCGTGCCGCCGGAGAGATGCGCAGCGGACCCTGGAATCGCTCCGATCGCGTGCAACTGGAGGGCGCGGTGTGTGTCGCACGGTTGTTCGGTGCGTCGCAGGTCAGGCTGATAAGGACTGGCTACGCGACCATCGAGATCGAGCTGAAGAAAAAATTAGATATTCTTACCTTCTTGCCCCCCTCCGAGACTGGAGACAGTCACCACCCGTACACAGGAGAGATGGGAGTGCCCCCCGCCCCCGCTTGCCCTGCCTGCGCAGGATAGCGTGCCCCGAGACGGCGACACTTAGCGAGGGTCACTGCGCAAGGAGGGGGTGCGTCGACTTTTTATTTTTGCTTTATTTGTCCTCTCGGGGGAATGTTCCCTCGGCGCCCATGGCCTTCTGAGGTTTCGTACTAATGACGTCCTTCTTGGCACTTCGGGCGTCGGTGTGTGCGTATCTGTGGTGTCTAATTCCCCCGGTTTTTTATTATATTTTTATGCTATATAGGTCGCCACGTTTTGACCCCTCTCACTACTTGAAGCGATCTCTGGCTGGCTCCCTATCCGGAAACGGAGGGTGTCCGACTAGCTGGCCTCACCCATATCTTACCCCTTCTGCCCTCCCCTCCTCCGACCCCCCAGGCTAGATGGAGTAGTCACAGATAAGCCGGATGAAGATTCTGCCCCTCACAGCCCCTTACCCCTTCACCCCTCGCTGCTTGGTGTTTCTGAACACGTAGTCGTCCACGCTGTGGGGGTTGTGTGCGGGTTGTGTCTGGGAGGGAGGGAGTGAGGTGCAGGTTGCTCACCCACGGCACCGGGCCGGTGCTTGCACTTTGAATGCCGGGGGGCTCCTGCCCGTGTCCGGGCGTGGAGATGCGAGGGTCGCCCCCCCTTGCCTCACCACCTTGTGTGTGTGGAGACGTTTACCTTACCTTACCTTACCTCGGACTCCTCGACCGCTCGAGCGTTCGCGCCGGGGCCCGGGGCCTCGGAGCCTCGGACCCAACACACGAAGGGGTCGAGGCTCCTGGGACAAGGCGAGAACGTGCACGAGCATGCAGTTCAGCGGAGGGGGGGGGGGGGGGGAGCCGAGGGGGCGAAGTCCCGACACACGGCAGGTTGGAGCTGGAGCTGGGACCCCGGGAGAGAGAGAGAGAGAGAACAGCAACGGCACGCCCCCAATGACCCTAGACAGACATGACGAGCCGACAGCGATGCAGCGGCAGCGAAGGCGGCGAGGAGGGCCCGCTGTGCAGAGAGCTCCGCCGGGCGGCCGCAGAGACATCTGAGCCCTGGCCTCGACACCTCGACACCAAACCTCGACACCGACTCGACACCTCGTGTCGACACCCCACGCCAACTCGACCAACTCGACACCCCTCGACTAGAGCTGTTTAACGTTGGGAGCTGAACAGTGTTGCTAGTGTTAACAGTAACAACAGAACAACAGTTGGGCTCCCCAACAACAGTAGCTAACGTTAGGCCGGCTGAACAACAATAAGGAAGGCCTGGCAGTGACCCACGACGATCTCAGCGTCCAGTGCGGGTAATACCCGAAAATACCCGGAAAACCCCAGGTTATTTTCGGGTTTTACCCGGGGGTTTTGCCATTTTCTGCTTGCTGGCCGCGAACAACGGTAACAACAATAACAAACAGTAACAGCATGGGCTGTGGTGAACACTTGAACAACGTTCAGGATTTCAGCCAACACTAGCGCAACTGTTAGGCCCAAAGTTATAGTTAATGTTAAACAGGCCTACGCCTCGACACCCCTCGACACCCCTCGACACCCCTCGACACCCCTCGTGCCTCGACACCAGACCCCAGTCCCCAGGTGCTCGACTCTAGTCTCTACGACTGTGTCTCAAGCTCAAGGTCCCACGCGCCTCGATAGTAGTAGTAGCTGCGAAACACTTCCTATCAGAACGTACCTGACGATACGTCTCGCAGAACCGGAGAACGAAAATACTGAGTCTGACACGGCACAACCACACGCTTTCTCCACACAAGCACACAAGGCAATACCGCAGGGCTACCGCCCCGTCAGCGTCACCGGCATGCAGGCACTTGCAGCTCATTCCGCAGCGCCCTCTGCCGCTCCTCCAGCCGCGCGAGGAGCGAGAGGGAGCCTGCGTGCTCCGGCTGGCAGGCGAGCACGCGCCTCAGCGCCGCCTCGCCTTCGTCGTGCCTGCAAGAGAGGGGAGGGCGACGCGGAGGGTGAGGGCGACGGTGCGGTGGCCCGCCTCCCCTCGGCGCCCGCCCGCCTGCCGCCGCCGATGGCGAGCAGAGCTGTGTGGTAGCGGGCGCGCCAATGGCCCTCGCTCTCGCGCAGGACCTCCTCAAAGGCGGCCAGCGCCTCGCGTGTGCGGCCGCTCTTTTGGTAGCACACCCCCAGCAGGAAGGCCATTTCGAGCGGCGCCTACGAAGCGCTGCCAGATTAGAGCCGGCACTGGGAGAGGCCGGACAGGCTCGCAACTCTTCTCCTCGGAGGAGCAGCCCGCGTCTCCACCGCGCGCCCTGCACCACCGCGCCGCCTCGCCGCCCGTGACTCCGCGCGGCACGCCGAGCGCGTCGACGATGGTTTGCTCCGCGTCCAGCGGGCTGCCCAGCCGGAGGAGGGTCATCGCCAAAACCCTCGCCAGGTGGGTCCGCTGCTGCGCCGCCTCAACAGAGAAGTCACTGGCGAGAGAGTGCTCGGCCCCGTCGAGCGCCGCCACGAGCTGCAGCCGCGCCGCCTCCAGCTCACTCGGCGAATAGGCGCGCACGTCCTCAGCAGTTGGCACTCTGGCGACGGAACAAACCGACAGACGCGCAAGGCGCGAGATGGGAGGACGCGACGGGCTGCGGCGGGCGACGGAAGCCAGTCCTGTCCCGATGAGACGCCGCGAAAGTGCCGCTGCGTCCCTCATAGGGCGTTAGTGTCAGGAGACGGAACACGGAGGAGCTGTATAGGTCACTAGAGACCCACACCATCGCTACATCACCACAACCACCAAGTCGGATACAAGTCGATGACAATGTGCGCGGCAGGAGAAACCCAACAGCATGACAATGTGCGCGGCAGGACAAACCAAACATGAGACACGGTTACACAAGGACGGTCAGGCTACGGTCAGGAAGTAGGTTTGAGTTCACACTCTCCAACACTCCCCCATTGTCTCCGCAGTCTTCATGAATGAGGATGCGGCAGACAACAACAGCAGAGTGTGAATGTGTCTGAGCGTAGGTATGCCGGTTACCCGCCGGCGTCTCGCGGGGCTGGCTAAGCGTCCAACCTTGCGTCTTCGCGAAGGATGGTCTTGCTTGTTGGCAAGACTTGCGCGCTAAGATGATCCAGTGAAGGGGTCAAAGCGCGGCCGAGTGGGCGGAGAGAGAGAAAGGGGAGATAATGAACAGGAGCTCGTTGTGGAGCTCGGTCATGGCGCGCCGCGAGCTGCAATCCGGGCTGAGCGTCGCGGGGCGGCGGCTTGAGCGGGCGCGGCGGGAGCGGCGGGCGCGGGAGCGGCAGCGGGGGCGCCCCGTTGCTGCGCGGCGACTGGGCCGTTGGGACGCCTCGCCGCGTTGACGTTGATGAGCGCATCAGACGAGGAAGAGACAGCAATGAGGTAGAGTGGCATTGCCACGTCGAACAGATGCCCAACACTCCCCCACGACGTGGTAATCGCCACACAAGGCAGAGAGGGCGTGTTGATCGTCGCGTGTTCATCGCGTACAGCTCCGGTCGTGTCGAGCGGCGACGTCGGAAGTAGCGGCGGCGAAAGGCAGGGTCCACATTCGGTGCGAGATCTTTGCTGTAACTGCCGTTGCAGCAGCCCGAGAGCTGGTAGCGGAGGCAGCAGCTGCGATGGTGGTCCGTAGGCGAGGAGAACGGACCGGTAAGGAGAAGCAAGAGGGGATACTCGTGTCCACACAGCCGCAGTGCTGGCGGAGATGCGCTCTGTCGCAGAAGATCCGCAAGCACACAAGTTGATGTTGCGGTTGTTCTCATTCTGCTCAGCCTCCGAGCCAAGCAGTTGGCGGCCGCTGTGCCACCGTGCGCCGAGCCTCTGTGCCCAGCCAATCACCACGGCTCGCGCAGGTGCCCATGGTGCCAGCCAACGTATCGAGCGTAAGCCGGAAATGCTGTGCGGCAACACATCTCGCTTGTGTGCCGCACCAGCTCTCATGTCGGCCTCAGTGCCGCACTGCTCACTCCGTGCACTCACCGGTCGGTACCATGTCAGGAGACGGAACACGGAGGAGCTGTATAGGTCACTAGAGACCCACACCATCGCTACATCACCACAACCACCAAGTCGGATACAAGTCGATGACAATGTGCGCGGCAGGAGAAACCCAACAGCATGACAATGTGCGCGGCAGGACAAACCAAACATGAGACACGGTTACACAAGGACGGTCAGGCTACGGTCAGGAAGTAGGTTTGAGTTCAGACTCTCCAACAGTTAGACTGTCTTTAGCCGCACCGTCGGCGCAGACCGCAAAAGAAAATCTCACTCGGGCTGAAAGTGGGTGAAAGAAATCCCTTTCGGTACAAAAGAAATCGACGGCCCCATCTGGCCGAGGATGAGGCTTCGCTGCTTTCTGCTGCCGCTCCTCGCCGCGCTCGCCGCCGGCAAGGCCAGCAGCGAAAGTGGGCAATGCCCGCAGTTCATGTATCCACTGCTCCGCCACGCCATGTCGTCGGCGAGGCGCGGCGCAGTTCTCGACGTGGGTGCCAACGGCTGCGAGGTGATGGCTGCGCTCAAGGACGGCTGGCGCGTCGTGGGGGTGGCGTGCCTCGAAGCCGCATACAACGAGCTGCGAAGCACTGCAGTCGGGGAGCACCCGAACGCGACTCTGCTGCACGTGTGCGCGAGCAGCGGCGCCATCCGCAGCGCGCCATCGCGATACACTGCGGTGATGAGCAATGGGTCCGTGGTGCGGCTGCAGCTCGCCGATCCAGGCGACGGCTACCTGCTGTGGCAGGCCAACACCGTGGCACCCCTGTTACCTCTCGACGAGCTTATCCCCACGGAGGAGCGCGTCGCCGTCATAAAGGTCGACGTGGCTGGCGCGCAGTTCCAGTACGAGGTGCTGCTCGGGCTGCTGCAGACCATCGGCCGGGACCGACCGGTCATCGGGTACGAGGAGGTTGGCACGCACGCGCACGCACGCACGCACGCACGCACGCACGCACGCACGCACGCACACCGAGAGACAAACAGCTCACCAAAAGCGGCTTGTGTTTTGAACGCTGTGGGGCTCCTGCTTCCCGTTAGGTTGGCGTCCGCCTCGAGAAGCATGGCGACCCGAGCCACTACCTGAAGCAGCTCGGCTACGCCTGCCACCCGCACGGCGAGAACAAACACCAGCGGGTCTGCTTACACGCGGAGTCTACGTCCAGATCGCCCTAGAGTCGCCCTAGAGCCTAGTGAATCACTACCCGGTACTAGTGTTCCGTGTGAGTCAGGAGAGAGAGACTACTAGTTCGCCCTACGTGCACGACGAGTTCTTCAGGGGACAGGGGCAAGTAGGGTATAAAGTATCCGTACGCAACGAATGGCTGGCTATACTGCCGTAACATTAGCGGATTAGGAAGTCAGCGCCATACTTGTTACTTTTACGTTTTACCTGTGTGCTGTGAACATGTGTTCATGTGACAAGCGCGCCGCGACAAGGTGGACTCACACACTGAGTCACTGACACTGTGCTACAGTCTGTTGCGGGCATTAAGAGACCTTACCATTAAGAAACCACGCCGAGCGATTTCCGCAAAAATCTAAGAAACCACGGCGCGCCGCAGGCGCGGCCCCAAGAAAGGGCCCACACACGAGTGTAAATAAATAAATAAAAACGGACACCTCTACTAGGAGATGGGTAAAAAGGAACAGGTCCCCGCCCTGCGGTCTTTGTGCAGGGTTCTTTGTGGGTGTGGTCGGCGACTAGCCGGGGTCGTCCTCCCGATGGGGGACTAGCACTAGCCGTCTTCCACATGGCCCCTCGGGTCCCTGCTGCTCCTAATCTCGTCGTACATCCTCCTGCTGATCTCCGCAACATCCTGCTCCCTCCCTCGTCTCGCCCTGCGCGTCTGCTCTGCCTCACCGTCTTCTGCCCTGCGTCGTCTGGTGACGGGTCCTCCATAGTCGGGGTAAGTGTGGTTCTTGCCCAAAAATGCGTGTGGTTTTTGCCCATGCATTGCGTTTTTTGCATTTTTTGCATTCGCATGCATTCACCTGCATTACAACTGCATTACAACTGCGTTCGCTGATTGCATTTCGTTGCATTATGCATTATTTGCATTCGTTGCATTTTGCGCGTGATTGCATTTCGTCGCATTATGCAATATTTGCATTTTCTGCATTTTGCGCGTGATTGCATTTCGTTGCATTATATGTTGCATTATGTGTATTCGGGGCATGACTGCATATCTTTTGCAATTTATGAGGGCAAGAACCTTAGGCAAGTGCACCACCCAGACTCCTCCCCCCTCCCCTCAAGTACCCCCCAGACTCCTCCCCCCACCCCTTCCCTCTCCCCTCCCTCCTACTCCTTCTGCATCTCCTCCTCCACTCCTCCTGCCTCGGGGAATGGGGAATGACTGCATATCTTTTGCAATTTGAGGGCAAGAACCTTAGGCAAGTGCACCCAGACTCCTCCCCCTCCCCTCCCCTCCCCCCTCCCCTCAAGTACCCCCCAGACTCCTCGTACCGTGTTTGTTATGACCCCCCCCACCCAATGAACACACCAGTGAGGGAGGGCGAGACGATCGAGGGAGAGGGAGAGCTCGCCCTCCATGCGGCGCACCATTGGGGGCGCTGCGGACTATTAGGCCTCGTCGCACATCGCGCGCATTCTGGATTGTCTTATTTATCTGAGGTTAAAATATCCATTTGAAAATGCTTGCCACATCTCGGGGATGGCGACGCCAATTCAGCCATCCTGAGATGCAGCGCCCTCCGGCCAGCATCTCAGGATGTAATGGCTCAATCAGGGATGTCGTGGACATCTTTGGTTGCCTCGAGCATCCCAAGATGCACGAAGCAATTCAAGATGCATGAAGCAATTCAGGATGCGCGCGCATCCTGAATTGCTTCATGCATCTTGGGATGCTCGAGGCAATCTCAATTAAAATGGAGATCGTATCGGGCAATTTGAGATGCCGGAGCATTTCAAATTGCGGGTTCCCCGCCCCTGACGAACTACGATACTGGAGGTACACACGCACCGCTTTCGCTCGCCGGCAAACCTTCATTTGCCTTCGGCACGCGCCGCATCACGCTCGCCCGGCCGACTTCCCAACTTTGGACTCGGGCTCGAGCTTGCAACGACAGGCCGTCTCAGATCCGAGCCAGAGTACGGCATGGCTGTGCTCGCGGGCAGCTCAAAAGTCAGGCGGAAAGACAGACACCCGGCCGCCGACAGCTCTCCGGCACCAGCGTTGCCCGCTCCGCAGCTGTGGCAGTTGAGGACGCTCTCGGTCAAGACGCGTGACTGTGCGCTCGTCGCGCTCGCCGTGCAGGCGTCCTTCCAGATCGTGTCCATGGCGGCGGCGCGGCGGCCGCACCAGCCTCGATTCCTGGCCTCTGCCGCCGTCGTTAGCGCCGAGGCGCTCAAGATCGGCGTGAGCGTGGCGATCCTGCTGCGCGAGCAGGTGCGCGGTGGCGAGGCGGCGCTGTCAGTCCTTTGGAGGCAGGTCGTGGTTGACTGGCGCGGCACTCTCGCCCTCTTCCCTCCGGCGCTCATCTACCTCGTGCAAAACAACCTGCTCTACCTCGCGGCCGCGCACCTCGACGCCGCGGCGTACCAGGTGCTGTGAAGACGCACACTGGGGCGGCGCGAGGGGTTGCAGCACACCCCACAACGGGGACCGGGACCAGGACCGGGGCCCCGCACACACGACCGCAGACACACGACCGCAGACGACCCGAGGCCGCCGGCAGGTGCTGTACCAGCTCAAGCTGCTCACCGCCGCCCTCTTCTCCGTGCTCCTGCTCGGCCGCCGCCTCTCTCCCCGCCGGTGGGGCGCACTGCTCGTCCTGTTCGTCGGGGCACTCCCCAGATGCAGTGCACACGGACCCGTGCCCTGTCCACACCTCGAGAGCACGCATGCCGCTGCGGTGCTCCGCTGTATTCTCTCCCCTGCATCCCCGCCCTCACTCGGGTGTGTCCATGGCGCAGGTAGCGCTCGTCACAAGTGCGCAGCACGCGCCACCCCAACCCGCGCCCGCCGCAGCGCCGGCGCCGCCCTCCCGCCTCCCGTCATGGGCCGCCCTCTCCGCTTTGCTGCCATTACGCCGCCGCACCCCCCCCGCCGCCGCCGCCTCGGCCTCCGCCGCCTCCGCCTCCGCCTCCGCCCGGTCTCCCCACCTCGGGGTGGTTGCTGTCATCTCTGCAGCCGTGCTGAGCGGGCTGGCGGGCGCTGTGGAGCGAGGCCTCGCCGCCCTTCGTTGTCTGTGCTCACGCCTTGTTTCGTTCACAGGCGGGCGTCTGGACCGAGGCGCGGGTCAAGCGCACCGCCCATGTCAGCGTGGCGGTGCGCAGCGCTCCTCCTCGGCCTCTCTGTGCCTGTGCACACACACACCTCTGCCTCTACCTCTACCTCTCTTCTCAGGTGCGCAACGTCCAGCTCGGTCTCGCCTCCCTCGCCGCCGGGGCTTGCTCCGTCTGCTGGCTCGACGCCGAGGCGGTGCGGCAGCGTGGCCTCTTCGCCGGCTTCACCCCTCTCGTGTGGCTCGTGGTGCTGCAGGTCGCCGCGGGCGGCTTGATCATCGGCGTCGTGCACAAGCACGCGGACAACATCGCCAAGGGTTTCGCGACATCGCTCTCCATCCTCCTCTCCTCGGCCCTCTCCGCGCTGCTGCCCTCGCTCCGATTCTCGCCCAGCCCGCGCTTCTTGCTCGGCGCCGTGCTGGTGGTCGCCGCGACCGCGGTGTACTGCCTCAGCACCGACGCGCCCTCCGGCGAGCGGCAGCGGAGAGAACGATGATAGTCTCGTCCCGCTTGATTTATGAGAGAGTCTCCTGCTCTTACTGCTTACTCTCTCCAGGTACTTTGGAGAAAAATGTAACGACGAAAGAAAACGGTCAAACTGAGCCCTGGTGTCGAGGTGTCGAGGCCCGGTGTCGAGGGTGTCGAGCTGCTCCGAGCAGGCTGCTGTGTTCTAGGGGTAGAGGTGTCGAGGCCTGTCGAGGCCTGTCGTGCTGTCGAGGCCTGTCGAGGCCTGTCGAGGCCTGTCGAGGGGCCTGTCGAGGCCTGTCGAGGCCTGTCGATGGACGATGCTGATACCATGCTGCTTGCCGGTGTCGAGGGGTGTCGAGAGGTGTCGAGGGGTGTCGAGGGTGTCGAGGGTGTCGAGCGGGTGTCGAGCGGGTGTCGAGAGTTGCGTGGTGGCGCAAGGTGTCGAGCGGTGTCGAGCGCGTCCGTGTGGCTATAGCGCGGGGCTATACTCAATAGGAATAGCAGAACTGCTGTAACCAATGATGAATGAAACCATCCTCGCCTCTCCCCTAGCTCTCCCCACAGCACACTGCTCCACACAGTGTACAGGTTTATAGAACACATGACCGATGAGGCTCCGAGAGGGGACAGGTTGGAACGCGCAGGCTGCGCGCAGGCTTTTTGTGGGGGCCTGGTGGGGGCCTGGCTAGGGATCCAGCCTGTTGTTCGCAGCGATCTGCATGGCAGCAAAGCTGCCACCAGCGGGGGCAGCCGCGGCAGCCGCGGCAGCGGCACCCCCCCGCGCCGCCGCCGCCATCGCCGCCAGCGCTGCTTCGTGCTTCGTTGGACGCCGACGAGCGGCCCTTGAAGGGGGTGCACGTAGATGACCCGAAGGCCATGTTCCTGTTGCGCTGGTACCAGGAGGTTGATGCAAACGGTACCGTCTTCAAGGATAAAAACGGTACAGAGATGTACCAGAACAGAGGCTGCAAGGGCTACTATCTGCCATTGGACAATGGCAGCTATGCATATTAGTGAGTGGGGAGGGAGAGGAGAGAGCTAGAGAGGGAGGGAGGGGAGGGGGGGGAGGGGGGGTATAAAGTTTTGCAGTCAGATAAGCAAGAAGAGAGCCGCTGGCAGGCCGCCGGCTGGATATGAGCGGTGTCAAGCGGTGTCGAGTGGTTCGAGCTGTGTCGAGCGGTGTCGAGCGGTGTCGAGCGGTGTCGAGGGGTGTCGAGGGGTGTCGAGGGGTGTCGAGGTGTCGAGTTTGGCACCTTGACACCGGCGAGCATGGCAACAGCCTAGATGGTGTCGAGGGGTGTCGAGGGGTGTCGAGGGGTGTCGAGGGGGTGTCGAGGGTGTCAAGTTGGCCTGGAGTTGGCAGGGGGTGTCGAGGTGTCGAGTTGGTGTCGAGGTTTGGTGTCGAGGTGTCGAGGCCAGGGCTCAGCGGTCAAACAGAGAGAGCAAGCAATAACTCCTAAAACTCTGAGAGAGCTCTGTTCACCTCTGAGTACTGAGAGACACCGACGAGCGACGCGTCCGACCACAGGTCCCAGCAGCAGCACCCAGGGCCAGGCTAGCCCCAGGGCCCAGGGTGCCACAAGTTTACACACGTGCGTCAATCCAACTTTAATTTCGCATGTGGCACTCACGGCACATGGGCCATGTTGTCTCTCTCTCTCTCGCCATGTTTAATCGCTCATGACATGCAACTTGCAAGATCCCCCCCGCCGCCGCCGCTCCATCGCCTCCGCCACCCTCGCCGCCACCCACATTGCCAGGACGAAGCCGCGCGGCGCCCGTCCCTTTGTAACGCTTCACGCGCGTCGCTGAGGCGTGCTGTGAAGGGCTCGCGTGATCGCGAGCATCGCACAACATCGCCATTTATCGCATTTTATCGCCAAATATCGCGCGGTATCGCGGTTGCGATATTGTGAAAATTCCCTCTAGAGCAGGGGTGGTCCCTGTTTGGTGTGCCAGTCGAGAGAGCTCGCAGATTGCGTAGCCCCGGTTGTCAGCACACCTCGTCCACCGCTCTGGCCATCCCCTCTGGCCATCCCCTCTGCGTGTACTGCGCTCTGGCGGGGAGGGGGGGGGGGCGAGAGAGAGAGAGAGAGAGAGAGAGAGAGAGAGAGAGAGAGAGAGAGAGAGAGAGAGAGAGAGAGAGAGAGAGAGAGAGAGAGAGAGAGAGAGAGAGAGAGAGAGAGAGAGAGAGAGAGAGAGAGAGAGAGAGAGAGAGAGAGAGAGAGAGGCGCGAGAAACAGGGTCGAGCGCGGCAGCCCGCCGTGGCCCGCGCGGAACATACTTTTGTGGTTCAGTCCCCGCCTCTTGCGGCGTTGCGGGTTGGAGCACACTTTTTTGGAGTCCAGTTTGTGTTTTTGCCGGTATCTAGATATTCGACACGCGACACGGGCGTAGTGTACGATTTAGTGTACCAAAAGCGTTCGTGGCCTCTCGCCAAAATGCCCCCTGCGCGACGTCCGATTGCGCGCGCGAACCCGCCACAGAGAGCGCGCGAAGATGGGAAATTAACTTTTTCGCGAAGTCTCGGACTTGCGCAATCATTCACACGATATACTATTCCTCAGATATGGGGGTTTCATGGGGCACACAGTGCACGCCTCTTCCAAGCTTTAAGTTGCAGTGACGAGGCCCGCCGCGCCAGTTGCTGTGACAGTGGCAAGCTGGCGAGGCCTGAAGCCCATGGTGGCCGTTGGGACACCGAGCTCCTCCAGCCGCGCCTCGTAGGTACGAATCACGTCGTTGTGCGCCTTGGTTACCCGCGCGAGCTCGTACTGCAGCTCCTTGATGGTGCCGTTTTTACCGGCGAGCACCTGTTGGGCCGTGGCGGAGGGTCAAGTCAGGCGCATGCTTAACGGGGCCTGGCGACAGCCTTCGCGCTGGATATGTGCGCGTTTGTTGGGCATCTAGGGCCACGCACATCGTCGAGCCGCTTCGAGACTGAGCCGAGCACAGCGGGGTCCAGGTTGGCCGCCGAGAGTACCTCGGAGAGCTGAGCGTCCTTTTGCTCGAGCGTCTCGTTCACCGTGGCCAGCTTGCGCTCGAGAAGGATGTTCTTGAAGCCCGACTTTTGCTGCACGTCGTAGATGGTCGCCTCGAACTTGTCGTAAAGCGCGTCCCGCTCCTTCTCCACGTGAGAGTGCCGCTGTCCGAGCACCTTCGGGCGAGGAGGGGCCGTCGGCCGCTAGTCTAGAAGGGCTGCCCGTGCGTCCCGGCGGCGCCTCGTGCTCCCATTTGAGGTCGCGCAGCTGGCCCTCGAGTGTGTGGACCCGCGCCTTTGCAGTCTGCAAGCTGACCTTGTCCTTTGAGTAGTTTGCGAGCTCCTTCCGGAGGCCCTCCACCTGTGTCGGGTGGCGAGGCACAGCTGAGAGATCGGGGGCCTCGCCGCAGCAGCGCGCCCCTGCGCCGTGCGCCTCCTTGAGCGCGCGTGAGAGTGGCTCGGAGAGCTTCTTGTTCTCCTGCGCAATCTCGTACATCAGCTTCTCATTTGCCACCTGCGCACACGACGCACGGCCAACGGTGCTGAGGAGCTCAATCGCCACCACACCCCGGACTGGCGGAGGGTGCCTCGCGCTTCTTCATCTCTGACGCCTCCTCCTTGAGCGAACGGATCAGGTCGAGGTTGTTGTGCGTGATGTCGTTGTAGTAGTTCTTGATCTCGCCGAAGGCCTTCTCGTGCTTCTTCATGAGCTCATTGATGTGGTTGTTCTTGCGCTCCTCGATCTCGAGGATCTCCACCTTGCGCCGCAGCTCGAGGTCGTCTCGCAGTAACTTCATCTTCTTTTCGTACCTGGAGGGCGGGCATCGCGTTGGACTGAGGAGTGCGAGCTGTGCGTGGTGGGACGATGGAGAGGAGCACTCGTGCACGCGTGCTAGATGGTGACGTGTGATGCTACGGGCGCGCACTTGGAGCTGAGCTCGGTCACCTCGCGCTCGTACTGTTGCCTCAGCTTGGTGATGTTCTTGTCATTCTCGAGCCGCAGCTCGCGGATGGCATCCTCGTGCGCCAGCTCGAGCTCCTTCAGCTCCAGCTTGAGCGAGCGCTTGTCCTAAGTCCACGCGAGAGGCAGGTGGATACCACGGCACTAGGAGGGCGATAGCGAGAGGGCGTACCTTCTTCGACTCGGACTCGTTTGAGTGGTGCTCTCCCAGCTGAAGCTTGAGCGCGAGCTCTCCCGCCTCCTTGAGCTGTGCGACGTTGTTTTGGTGCTCATAGAGCAGGTGCTTGACCTGCGCCAGCGCTGAGTGCACTGAGCGCTTGGCACCGGCGACAGAGAGAGAGAGAGAGAGAGAGAGAGAGAGAGAGAGAGAGAGAGAGAGAGAGAGAGAGAGAGAGAGAGAGAGAGAGAGAGAGAGAGAGAGAGAGAGAGAGAGAGAGAGAGAGAGAGAGAGAGAGAGAGAGAGAGAGAGAGAGAGAGAGAGAGAGAGAGAGAGACTCGGAGGGGTGGAGATGAGGGGATGCGCGCCTTTTGCTTGTAGACCTTGACCTCCACCTGGTGTCGCTCTTCGAGCTCCTCCATCTCCCGTTCCTTGTTGCGTCCCTCCGCCTTCCGGTCCTCGAGCTCCTTCTTGCATATCTCCCAAAAGGTGGCCACCTGCAACCGGTCACTGAGTCACCGATGAGTGTCCGTGAGTGATGGTATGAGAAGATCACACCCCGAGGGCACAGTTCTCTCTCTCTCTCCCTCCCTCCCTCCCTCCCTCCCTCCCTCCCTCCCTCCCTCTCCCTCCCCCCCTCTCTCTCCCTCTCTCTCTGCGCGCGCCTTGTCGCGCTCAAGCTGAAAGTAGTTGCGCTCTTCCCTCTCGTGCTCCAGCTGCGGCGTGCAACGGCAGGCGGCTCAGGGGAGGAGAGGGCACGCAAGACTCCACGCACCCCGGCCTGCACCTCAGTCTGCAGCTGGCGAATGGTCTCCTGCAGCTCAGCGCTTGCGCCCTCGCCCTCGCCGCCGCCGTCACCGCCGCCCGCACCGCCGTCGCCGCCGCTGTCGCCGCCAGACTTGGGCTTGTCGCCCTTCTCCTTGCCCTTCTTCTTGGGGGCTCCTCCCAGCAAGCTCAGCCGCAGGTCGAGTGTGGCGGCTGGTGCGACGCGCTGCTCCGCCAGAGGTCTATCGTCGACCAGCTGCCGCCCAGCATGCACGTACCGCTGCAGGGCCGCGGGAATGCCTGCGGCCAAGGTTGGGCGCAATGTGAGCAATGACGCCCGGTGCGATGGAGGTGCACCCAATCAGCGCACCCTCGCGATCCTCCACGGCAAACCTGACCGCATCGAGGGAAGAGCCCGCGCCGCTGGTCGCCACCTCGACGGCGATCGACCGAGCGTGCGGCAATCTGACGAAGATTTGCATGGCAGACCAAGGCAAGCCCGCGCGTAACGTCAGTCGCTCAAATCAATAGTTTCTTTTCTATCCTTATTTATAGGCACAAATCCGCCTGTAGACACCTCTGAAGTCTGTGGTGCACTGGCACTAGCCATACTTACGCAGGGGATGCGTGCCGCTACAACTGTAGCCACTGTAGCCAGGAGCTTCCCAGCCTCCGGCGTCCACCGGGAGCCTCCCGGACCATTTACAATTTCTCCCTCTTAAGCGATTCCTGAACTCTTTGAAGTTCGAGCTCCAAAAAAGAAAAACTCCGGGGACGCCAAAGTCCCAGCCAGGTGCACAGCCGATCTCGTGCACAGCCGATCTCCGCCGACAAAGCCGGCTGCCGACCGCCATGCGGCTGCTGCAGCTCTCTACTCATGGCGCTCACGCTCTGCAGAGCGCGCTAATCGCCGCGGCGCTCGCCGCATCCATCTCTAGGGCGGCCATCGAGCCGGCCCTTGCCATTGGGCCCAATGACATGAACATCGGCCTGAGTGTCAAGGCGCGGGTCCCTCCCGTTAGCCCTGCTGCCTCCCGGCTCCTCGCTGCACCGCCCACACTCGCCGCGTCAAGCATCGGCCTCCCTCACGACCGCCTCCTCGCCACACACTGCCGCGCCCTCACCACCATGCGTCACTTTTGCCACACCTCACCGCCGCCTCCCTCTGCCGCCGAGGCCTACGAAGAGTGCGACTGCCCGCCAGAGCTGGCGCAAGGCCGGGCGGGCGGGGCGCTGGGCGCGGGGGCCGGCGGCTCTGGCATTGCCCAGAAGTGCGTGCGGGTCAGCGCTCAGGTAGACAACCCCCGGAAGGAGGCTGTCGAGGACGCGGGCGTCTTTGGTGTGGTCACCGAGACGACGACGGGCATGTCGGTCCTCGGCAACGGCCAGGACGGCAAGAACGACGCGGGGCAGTTTGCGATGATCCCCAAGGTGCCTCCTGGCAAGTCGGACGTGGAGTTCGTATTCGTCTCGCAGCAGGCGGACGACTGCGTGCCGAGCAAAAAGAAGGTGGACGGCAAGCTGGTCATAACCACGTGCCCGGTGCAGGGCTCGAGGCCGCTGGTCGGCCTCTCGTTCGACAAGATGAAGGCCATCGCCTACCCGGGCGGAGATCGCTACAAGCTCTACGACGAGTGTGAGCAGAACGAGTTCGCCGAAGGGTGTTGACGCCACAGGTGACCGCACTCTTCCGCACGTGTCGTCGCCCGCCTAGTGTCGCCCAAAGCCGAGAGCGTATAGGAGAGGAGCTCCGGAGCGTGTGGAGAAGCGGATATTCTGCACGCATGCCGGTTCGATCTATACACCATGTGCCGTGTCAACCGGCTCAACCGCCACCCCCCTCGCCCGGAGTGATTCTCTATAACATACATGTAAACGTTCTGCGGTGTGCGGTGTGCGCATCGCTTCGCCGCTCCGTCGATCGCACCCCCCGCGCGCGCGCGCGCGCGCCGCACCCCGCACGCGCGCGTCTTGAGCACACACAAGTCACAAGCGACAAGGCACAAGGCTGCGAGTGCGACCAGTCCGACACACATTCGTACAGCTCACGACACACGATCGATATTTGTCGCACTGCACCACAAGCGGCTAAGGCTAAGTCAGATGGCAGGTATGGAGGCCTTGAAAGCTGCGAGATCAACAGGGGCGGGAGGGGTCGCAACGTGCTGTAGTCCGAGCGCGTCCAGTGCTTCACGGCACTGCCCGGCCGTGAGGCCGCGAGTGCTTGCAACAGAATACATTTGGAATAGAGTCTCGATGTCGCTGTCGCTGAAGAAGTGGCGTGGCGATGCGGGATCCGCCACCGTGTGCAACGCCTGGAGCTCGCCCACCAGGTACGCGCGGGGATCCGCTGGCCTCTCGATGAGAAGTTTCTGCGCGAGCAGCTCCAGGAGAGGAATGATCTTGTGCTGTTCCAGATAGGCGGCGCTTTGCATCGCGGGGTCCTTTTCGGAACGGGCCCGCCGCACATTGGACTCAGCCGTCGGGTTGATCCGCTCCCTCCTGCCCCGCAATTGCGCCTGGATCACCGATGCCTGCATCGCCTGCTCCTCCTGCTGCAAACGTGCAGCCCGCCGCTGGGCGTGACCCCTGGCGCCCGCGCCGAGCACGGCCGAGGCCCTCTCCTTGCTGGCCTCCATTTGCTGTGCCTTATTGCCGCGTGTGTGTACCTGCGGAGGCGTGCGCGGTGTGTGACGAGCCTGCTGACACACACACATTCAGGCGTGTGCGGTGTGTGACGAGAGCCTCTCATTAGGTGCCGGACCGAGGTGACCGAGGTGCTCCCTCGCGTGTGTGGAGACCTGCGCCAGCGCACGATGGGTTGTCGCCCCCGCTCGCCGTAACGTCGACGTCAGAACTTGTGTGTGAAGTCAAGGCGAGGGGACGGGGGGACTCTTCCTCCATCCTCGAGGTACTCCCACGCCTCTCGGGGTTTTATCTGGTGAGTCAACCCGCCTCGGCGAGACTGCGTCAGCTGCCCCCACAGCAGGCTGGAAGTACCTCGCCAGGCGGGGGGTCGTTGTGAAACAGTGCCTCTTGGGAGAGAGACAGAGTTGTGTTGTTGTGTGTTGTTGCTCTTGTGACCCGCGCCTCCCCATTGCAGTCATGGTGATTGTGTGTGTGTGTCTCTCTCGCCATGCTGTCTGTCTCGCTGGCCCCGGACCGCTACGTCACGGCGGCATCTGGTGGGTCGAGATCGGGGGCGCGAAACGTCGAATCCTTCCGTTGAGAACGTGCCAAGTTTCGTGTGCCCGTCGTACCCGAAGTTAAAAAGGCGCACGCCCACGCTCCTCAAATCCGGCGCGCAGACCGTCAGCAGTTTTGCTGACGGTCGACGGCGCATGCGGCCCGTGCAAGGGCAGGCGGTCTCGACGGCCGCGCGTGGTAGCTTGCGGCCGCTCTCCCGACGCCTTCTAGAGTCATGGCAAACCTGCGACCGGTTTACTGGCTGGCTCGTGCTCGTGCAGCTGGGGTTAACCATTGTGGGACTCATGCTGGCCACACTTCTCTTCTTTCATGACAGCGGTGCGGATCATATCGGGGCCGGCTCTCCCGACTGCTTTGCGCGATGGGGCCTTTGGATGTCACCCCCCGCGCTCTTTTGGGGAGGCATCGCCGGTGCGAGCACACCTGCCGCTCCTGCACGGCTCTGCCGAGCTGCACCTCTCCTCTTGCCCCGCGACGCAGCACCGCGAGCTCTAGACCGTCTAGACCGCAGTGGACCTAGCCGCTCGCCCCCGCTCACGCCCCCCCCCCCCCCCCCCTCTCCCACGCAGGGATCTGCACCCTGCATGGCCACCGAAGACAGCACCACGACTCGCTGCTCTCGTCATACGAGCTCAACACGCTGCTTGCTCCCTTCTCGCTCTTCATATTCGTGCTGCTCATCTTCCGCACGCTCTATGCCCCTCATCGCGCCGAATGCGCCTCACGACATCTCCACCGCTGGCACGAGCCGGAGCCGGAGCACGACCTCGTGCAAGCGCTGCGCCTCTCGTGCGTGGAGGGCGCCCTCACCGTGGCGCTCGCGCTGGTGATGCAGGTGCAGGCTTGCGTCTGCATCACCGCCGCTCACGCCGTCTCCACCACGCGCAAGCGGATCTTCCCTGCCGATTCCGAGATTGTCGTGCACGCCGTCGAGGGGGCGACACGCCGGCTCAAGTACGGCTGGCGACAGCACGCCACCTCGGACGGCCGTGTCTTCTTCTCGCATACGAAGTCTGGGCGCGTGCAGTGGGACCCGCCGGCGGAGTTGGACCTCGCCGCGCTGGATACCGTACCCGAGAGCCCAAGAGGCAGGAGTCATGAGTAGGTCAATTACGGTATAGAGAGAGAGAACCGGGGAGAGCGTGGCAGAGGGAGGAGAGCGGAGAGAGAGAGCGACGTGGTGCTCTGAAGTAAACACGCACTGTGCTGTTTGTGTTTGTGCATGACGCTCACCGAGGCCGCGGGCGTCGCCGTGGGCCTGAAGGGGTCTACGAGTCTTCAAGTGTCTAGAGTGACACGACACCCCCTATAGCGCCTATATACGCTAAACGCCGCTACCTTCGCCACCGCAAGCTGCACACTAAGGCCTTTGTCCACGTCTCGAACGACAAGACCCACGACTCTTACGCCGCGCAGACCTTCATCAACAAGACGATTGACTACCTCGAGGAGCAGTATGTTCGGCCGTGTGTGCGCACACGCGCTTGGAACAGACTCCGCCCATATCACCCCGTGCGCCGTGGTGGACACGGTGGGACGAGCGGGGCACAGAGCCATGGGTTGTGGTACTTTACAGACTGAGTAGGGAGACTCGCTCCGGCGACGTCGTGAAAAAGAAACACACTTGTGCTCGGCGACACGCCTCGGCTCGTTCTCGTTGGCTTCATCACCCTCTGCTGATTGGGTGCGAGGACCTCTCCTCAACGTCTGTCGAGGCCTCGCCCTCCAGCTGTCTCTGCACCTCGATGCTGTCTTTCATCGTGAGCTCCGCGTCCGGCCTCGTCGTGCCACGCGTCGCGCGCTCCACCCCTCGTTGCGGTGCGCCCACCGCCGTCACTCAGGGCGAGGTGCATGGCGAGGGGGGCGCCTACGTTGCGGGCCACTGGGTGCCGCTCGAGCTTTGCAAGGAGAAGTTCAACATCGCGGGAGGCTCGAACGAGAAGACGCCGGCGGGCCCGTGCCCCCGGTCTATCACGCGCCACTCGTCAGCCAAGCCGGACGGCAGCTACGATGTTGCCATTATCGGATCCGGGTGCATCGGCGCCGCCGTGGCGCGCGAGCTCTCCAAGACGACGGCCTCTGTCGTGATGCTGGAGGCGGCGGACGACGTGTGCCAGGGAGCGACCAAGGGCAACTCGGGCATCGTTCACGCGGGCTTCGACGACAAGCCCGGCTCGGTGCGCGCCGCGCTGTGCTGGAAGGGGAATCAGCTCTTCCCGCAGCTCGACTCGGAGCTCCACTTTGGCTACCAACTTACCGGCTCGCTGGTGGTCGCGTTTGGCGAGGAGCAGGAGGCGCATCTGCACGAGGCGCGCGGAAGCCTCTCGGCCCAGCACGCCCCCCCTCCCCCCCCCCTCTCCCGTCCTCTCTACTGCAGCACGGCCGTGGTCCACAGCCCCGGCCTCAGCTCTCCACCACGACAAGCGCCATGCCCTGCCCCACAGCTGCTCGCGCGCGGCGCCGAGAACGGCGTCAAGAACCTGCGCATTGTCGGCGAAGAGGAGCTCCGCCGCATGGAGCCCCGCCTCGCTCCCGGCGCCACCGCGGCGCTGCACTCGCCTGACGCGGTGAGACCAGACACCCCTGCTGCTCCGTCACCGCAAACATAGCCTCCCCCCCTCCCTCCCCGCCGCCATCTCCGCCGCCTCCTGCCAACGCTCCGCCGCGCGTGCCAGGGCACACTCATCCCTTACGAGTACACGATCGCGCTGGCGGAGAACGCGGCCGACAACGGCGTTGAGGTGCGCACGCGGCGCGAGGTGCGCGGCATCGCAAAGGACAAGGTTGCCTCCTAACTCGACTCCGGACCGGCTGCCGGAGCCTTCTCGGGACGTCTCTGAACCTTCCTCTAGGCGGCCGGCCTCTTCGACATCCAGATGGAGCACTGGGAGCCAAAGGAGTTCGTCGAGGCGACGGGCGGCGGCCCGCTCTCGGCGCTGCGCAAGGCGCTCTCGGCGGCGGCGCCGGCGCTCGGCCGCTACTTTGGCGGCGAGGACGAGGCGGGCCCGTGGAAGGACTACCCGCAGCTTGTCAAGGGCGAGCAGGCGGTCGACGTCGAGGCGATGAAGGTGGGAGGCTCCGGCTCGCGCCGCGCGATGGGCGGCGTGACTGTCGCGAGGGAGACGGTGCGCGAGACGTAGGTCATGCGCATGACATGTCCAGGACACGGCCATGACAACAGAGCGAGACGTGCCCCGCAGGTGCGCGCCAAGTACGTCGTCAACTGCGCGGGCGGCGCGTCCGACAAGGTCGCTCGGCTGGTCATATAACATAATAATTGTATATTATACTCCAATTCCTATTATTATGTAATAAGGTCGCTCGGCTGGTCGGCGACGAGTCGTTCCAGATCAAGCCGCGGCTGGGCGAGTACGTCCTGCTCAAGAAGTCGCAGGGGGACGCCTGCAACCACATCCTCTTCCCGTGCCCCGGACCGCTCGGCGAGCCTCCCCCCGCCCCCTCTTCTTGCCCTCCCCCTTCCTTCCCCGCTCCCCGCCCCCGCCCCCCGCCCGCTCGACTCCGACTCGCAACCCCTCGACCCGCCCCCCACGCGCGGCGCAGGCAAGGGCATCCTCGTCCAAAAGACGCTCTGGGGCAACCTCATCCTCGGCCCCACCGCGCGCGACGTGGACAAGTGGCCGACCCCCGGCGTCGACCCCGACTCGAAGCAGCAGGTTCTCTCCTCCATCCTCTCCGCCTGCCGCAGCCTCGTGCCCGACTTTGAGACGGACGACGCCTTCCACTCCTTCTCTGGCGCGCGTGCAAAGTCGAGCCGCGGCGACTGGATCATCGAGCGGTGCGCCACCGAGCCCGACCTGATCCACGCGGCCGGCATCGACTCGCCCGGCATTGCCGGCTCTCCCGCGATCGCGCTCGAGGTCGTCCGGCTGCTCGGCGAGGCCGGGCTCGACGCGCCCGCCGACCCAGCCTTCAACCCGAGCCGGGCGGCGGTGGTCGTGCCCAAGCGCGGGGACGAGGGCCTCGTCTACACTCCCGACGACAAGGAGAGCCTCAACGCGCTCGGCGTCTCGGCCGCCGAGAACGTCGTGTGCAAGTGCGAGAAGGTGACCGAGGCGGAGGTGGTCGACGCTTGCCGCCGCTCGCTCCCGATCGACTCGACGCAGGCGATCGGAGAGCGCCAGAGAGAGAGAGAGAGAGAGAGAGTCAGAGAGCGCCGGAGTGCCCACCCGCTGCTCCCGAGATCGCCCGAGATCGCCCGAGGTTGCCCGAGGTTACCCGAGGTTACCCGATCGACTCGATGCAGGCGATCCGCAAGCGGACGCGCGCGGGCATGGGCGGCTGCCAGGGCAAGCCGTGGAACTACGGCTGCGAGTGCCGCGTCGCGCAGATCATCGCGCGCGAGACGGAGGGCCTCCCGGTGGCCGAGGTTGGGCGGCGGCCGTGGTCGGCGACATCGCAGTTCCCGCGCCGCTGGCTGTCGGACGGCGACAAGGAGAACCTCAAGGCGTGGTCGCAGCCGCCGCCCGCGGAGGCGGACGAGACGGCGCGCAAGCTGGAGGAGGCGCTCCCCCTCGAGGTGTCGCCCGTCGAGGCGGCGGAGGCCGAGGCGGAGTAGGCGCCAAGCCGCAAGCAGCGCCCACGCAGCGCCCCCAGCTCCTCGTGGCGGGGGCCCGAGCTCGAGATATGATCCGATCTTCTCGCGCAGTACTCCATGCGGCGCCGGGCAGTGCCCCCGGCTGTCTGCGCGCCCTGGCCGAGCGGCCAGCGTGGGAGCACTAAGCACCGCCGCGATTGCGCATCGCTCGCGCTCGCCATTTTGCGTAAGTATGCGAGTATCGCGTACATCTCCGCGTCTATCGGCTCCCACATGTTCGGCAACTTTCCTCCCCACATTCCCGCCCCAAACGCTATCTCCCCTTCTTCACAGGGTCCGATCTTCACTGGGACACAGCCACCACCCTCGCCTTAAGACTATGGCAGCCGCTGCGCTGGTCGCTCGCGTGGGAGACAGGAGTGTGCCCTGGCCCCGTCGCTCGTTCCTCTATCTGGTCTCTCCCTGACCGTGTAACCCTCTGGCTTGCTCGTTGCTCCTCTTGGTCTTGCCGGCGTGTGCGCCTTGTGCGTGTGTAACGAAAAGCATCCAGCCCGAGCGGCGAGTACTGTACATATCAGATGATGTCTCTGATCCTGATGTCTCTCGGGGCGCTCTCGCGGGGTCTCGCTCTCGGCAGTAACGGCACTCGGGAACTGCTGCTCTCGCTCGCCCTTTTTGAGCTTTGTCTCTAATCGACTAAAATTATGAACAGGCTACGTAGAGGGTGTGGATGCTGGGTTGAACAAAATCGGAGGACGCGACCCACTTCGCCACAGACGGTCCCGCGCCTCGCCGCTAAGACAGTGGCACGCACCGCGCAGCGGCGCGTGCCACTGTCTTTGTCCGGAGTGAATACTCCAACGCGCTCGTCGGTGACGGTGTCCTCCAACCTGCGCCGCGCTCGGCGAACCTCGACAGCGCTTTCGGTGGCATGCAGCTCTTTGCGACAGAAGCCTGGAGAGCAGCTCCTCTGCTGCTCACACACTCTGCACAGCTGACACAGCCTACTGTGCGGCTGCCACAGCTGTGACAGCGATGGGCTCGCCCTCACTGGCCCTCAGTCACTTGTGCTGCGGCTTGTGTGAGCGACACTGCTCGGCGACTGCCGGCACACTGTGAGACCATGGGTGTGAGGTCAAACCACGCTACCAGCGCTTGGTCACATCGGCCCCGAGGTCAGATCCATCTACTCTGTTGATGACAAGACTTGTCTACTCGCTGCAGCCGAGCAGGAGGGCTTGGCGCACAACCCCTGTTCAACTCACCCTCCACACCCCGTACAGGGACCGCTCGAATCTCGATAGAATCGCGAGCTGTGCAACGCCTCCATGAAGGCTCCAAGTCCAACCTGAACCTCACTCGCCCCCACGAGCCCCACGTCCTGTGTGAAACATTACGTCCTGGTCGTTGCGTCAAAAAGCCCCGGTAAGCCGGGTGTGTGCGTGATGACTGATCGCTGAGATGCATCCGCACGCTTCGCTGACCCCGGGGGGGACTCAAATACCCACCACGCGACTGAGGCGGGCGCCATCTCTACGCGGACCGTCACGGAGAAGTCTCGCCGCAGCCGCACCGTTGTGGCCTCGCCCCCCATACGCGAGACGCTCGCCACGTCGTCGAGGCCCGAGTAGTAGAGCGGCACGCGCAGCGTCGTGTTGATGGCCGCTGCGCGGCTCTGGTGGAAGACCACGAGCATCGCCCGCTCGCGACACTTGGCTGCGACCGGCTCGACGTGCAAAAGCGCGTCGATGCCGTTGCCGTCGGCGCGCTTGAGGTGGACCATGTCGGCGTGCAGTATCGTGCGGTACTTGTTGTTGAAGGCGACGTACCGCTGCACGAGCGCCTCGCTCGCCGGCTCCTCGTCGTCGTAGAGGCGCGTGCCGCGGTAGCACGGGGAGACGCCCGTCGCGAAGTACATCGACAAGTAAAACTCCCATTCGCCGTGCAGGAAGCCGGCCGGCTCGACGCAGCACTGCGGCCAGCCGCCGTGGTACTTCACCTGGAGGGCCAGATTGCAGTCGGTGTGTGTGTGTGGGGGGGGAGGGGGGGGGGGGCGGATTACAGGCCGTCGGCTCGTCTCACACACGGGCACACGGACCAGAGTACAGGGTCGCGTTGACGACTGCGTCGTAGCATGCATCTAGGGCTCGGCACGAGGGGCACAAACATCCACCCCTGGGAGGGCGCCTTGACCCAAGTGCCGTCGTAGATGTTCTGTCTCGCGAGCGTGATTTGCTCCCACAGCGGGAGGTTCCAGTTCGTCTCTACGTACCCCATCCCATCCTTGTTGATGCCTCGAAAGTAGTAAGGGTCGGGCGCGTGCACGTACATTCCCTCCTCCTTGCACCAGGCGGAAAACTCCATGTTTCGCTCGTACTTCGGAGAGTTTGGGGGGGGGGGGGGGGGCCTGAGGCCAGGGGGAAACAGGAGCCTGTTTAGGTTTTTCCAGGGGCCGGTCTTTCGCACGCAGGTGCAGCGAGGGACGGTCGGGGGGAAAATTTCGCCGGCCGCCTGGGTCCACGCCGAGTCCTCCTCCCCTGAAACAAAAAGGCGGCCCGTAAAAAAAAAACGAGCCGCCCGAGGGTCAACGCCGAGCTCCCCTCGCCGCGGGGGGGCGCGGGCTCCTTCGAGGGGCACGAATGGCCCTCATACGGCCCGTCCGTCTCGATTGCGTCGAGGCCGGTCGCCTCGATGAAGTCCTTGACTCTCCGAAAGTACCCGTCAGACCAGCCGCTTGCGAGACACGCGGCGCCTACGCACAGCGCGTCCGGCTTCTCCGACATGCGACGCTCTGCTTTCGGCCAGCCGCTGGCCAGGCACGCGGCGCCGTTCCACGCGCCCGACGCGTTGACGCAGTCGCCGGCGTGGCCGACTCTGCGCGAGGAGGCCATGAGGTTGTAGCCGCCGAGCTCGATGCCGCGCGAGTGTGCGTACTCGACCGACGCGGCGACGGAGCGGACGTAGGCGGGGTCGGTCGACTCCATGTCGAGGCCGGAGCCGAAGCTGAGAATGATCATCTCGAAGCCGACGGCGGCGCACTGGTCGACCGCGCGCCGGATGCCGGCCTCGGTCGCGTCGGTGAGGTGCAGGAAGGTTGGGTTCTCCGTGACCTGGGGCGCGAGCGTGCGGTACATCCGGCGGAGGGCGAGGCCTTGCCGCTCCGCCTCGTCGGAGTCGTGCAGGAGCACGTATGTGCGGAAGGAGGCGAAGGAGCGGCCGTGGAAGCCGGCGGGGCCGAGCTGCGCTGCCGGGCCCCGCGGGTAGACGGAGCGGAGGAGCAGCGCGCCGTTGCCCTGCGTGCACGTCGTGCAGCTCTCGTCCGGTCCGAGGCGGGTGGTGCCGCGGGAGGGGTCCTTCGTGCCGCGCGTCATCTCGGACGCCATGTGCACGCGGCCGCTGGTGCTCGCGCCTGTGACGCGCCCAGCACGGTGGAGGAGACATGGGCGAGATCTGGCAGAGGTGGCCGAGACGTGGGCGCGCCTGTGATGTGCCCTCGCTCCGCGTGCGGCCAGTAGCCCGTCGCCTAAGTCAGGCCAGGCCCGGGAAACCTTCCACGCTGCGGGGCAAGGAGCCAGGCATTCAAAGTGCAAGGCCCGTTGCGCGTGGGTGGTGTGTGCGTGCGTGCGTGCGTGCGTGCGTGCGTGCGTGCGTGCGTGTGTGAATGTGTGTGTGTGTGTGTGTGTGTGTGTGTGTGTGTGTGTGTGTGTGTGTGTGTGTGTGCGTGGCGTGGCGAACCGCGAGAGCGCTGCCCTACCTGCTGCCTCGGCGCGCGCGCGTCTGTCTGTCTGCCTTTCCGTTTGTCTGTGTATCTGTCACCTCATTTGTGAGACGGAGCACGTCAGTGGCAAGCGACTCGAGGACCACACTCCCTCCTCTGCCCGAGCAGGTCACGGCGACGTGCTTCTCGTAGAGCGGCAGGCCGCGGTACAGCGCGTACACGACCGTGACGACGACATCGCGGTGGGCGGCAGGCGCACCCTCCGGCGCGACAAAGTCGACGGAGAGGGTCAGCCCGCGAGGCGGCCTATTCATACAGCTTGCGCTGGAGAGTCGCTCTCCCCAGGGAAAGGGAAAGGGAAAGGGCGAGGCGTGGCCAGGAGAGAGACGCGTCAGAGTGCCGTACGCCGGGAGCCCACTTGTACCGCGCGGTCGGCGCACCCGTGCGGTGGGCGGAGTAGCGGAATGCACCGGCGGGAGAAGTGAGCTCGGGCAGCTCCGACATGTTCAAGAAGGCGAAGTCCCTCTGCCCAACCAGTCCGCCGATTGAGTAGTTGACTCCATCGAGACGCATCTCCGCCTCTGGAGAGGTTGCACGGAGAAAATTTGCGCCACCTGCATCGCAATTCGAGCCGAAGCCAGAGCGAGAGAGCGCGATCGTCCCAAAGCCACCCGATGGGACGGCAAACGTTCGCGAGGCCAGGCCGTTTGTGAGGGTGAGTGTCGGCACGCCATGATGGCTGCCCTCGACAATGGCAGCATCCGGCAGCGACGATGGCGGGAGGAGGAGCCAATCCTGTGGTACGGCGTCGGACGCAACCTTGGCATGCGCTAAGATGAGCGCAACAGCCGACATGTGCGCCATGAAGGTCAATCGCGGTTGTGCCCCACTCGCTATCGGGTCCCCTGAGGGGTACCCTGGGTGGGCGGGGCCTCTACTCGCCAGGCCAACACCGTTGTGTTGCAGGATAAACCTCTACTTCTTTCCCGTCCGAGCCTGACTGTTCTTCACCTTCCTACATACGTGGGGCGAGGGGCTCGCCAAGTGCACGTTCCCAAAAATTAAGCCGTTGGCCTCATCGCTCTCTGCGCGGCCTTCCCCGCCCGGCGTGCAGCCCTGCGCCTCGCCCTCTCCCCCGGTGCCGCCGCGGCGAGGTCGGCGTCATCCCACGGGACATAGTCGACGAGGCAGCGGCGCCGAGACTGGCCGGCCGACACGTCGACGCCCGAAAAGGCCGCATACTGCTCGAGCGTGCGCCTATTGCAGTTCCGAGAGGCTCGGGAAGTTCGTAGCAGGGCTGCCTCACACCGCTCGAGAGCGCGCGCCGCGTGCCGAGCGCGTACTCTCCGAGCGACGCCCTCGCCGAGGGGCTCTGGCTGCTCCCGCGTCCGAGGAGGAGAGTGCTCAGCCGCGCCTGCGATGCCATCCACTCGGCGTGGACGCTCCGCCAGCCGCCCTTGCCGCCCTTGTCGGTGCCGTAATAGGTGCCGATGATGGGGCGCGTGGGACTGTAAAAGTCGTACCCGCTCGTCCACAGTCGCGCGCCCCGGCTGTACTCCTCGCCGTCGAAGACGTGACGCAGGTGCGGGTCGGCGGGCACTCGCCGCTCGGCGTGGCAGCGGCTGAAGGAGAGCCCTGCCCCCCAGAGCGCCGTCATGAGCGGCCGGGTCAAGCCTGCGGCGGCTGATGCCTGCTCGTTCCTCACGATGCCGGGCGACACGACTCGCGCGCGGCAAAAGTGCGGCATCTCCCAATGCCCGTTAACGTTCTTCCCGAGTTGCATTGCATTCGGCGGGTAGGCTGTCAAAATGGCATATTCATTCGCCGCCGCGCCCCACTCAGCGAGCATCCTCATGTCCCAGTGGCGCCCAAACTCCGTGTGCGCGTCGATTTGGAGGCAAAAGTCGTCCTCGTCGCGGACCAGCTGCCGCTGTTGGGCACGGGCGTACACAGGCCCAGCGGCCTCACTCGCGTTCATGCGTAGGACACGCGCGCGGCCAAATAGCGCGCAATGCGATGGGTTGGCGAATCTACCCATGCCCAGGTCTTGCAACGGCACGCCCAATCGGCGACACGCCTCGGCAATGCAGTCGGTGTCGCCTGGCGCGTTTTGCTGCACCAAACCCAACCGCACCCGCTTTGGGTGGGCGGCAGCTCTGAAGGCACTCAGCACCGTCTCAGGGCAGCGCTCCTCCCGCAGGGCAGCGATCAGCACCGTGATAATCGTATTATTCTTCAGGTGCGCAAGGTCGTACGGCCGGTGTGGCTGTGGACCAGGCCGCGGGTATGCAATCTGGGCCCACTTTCCCTTGCCAACCATCACAATGTCCGGGTCTCGCCATCCAGCAGGCAGCGGCATCGGGCCGCGGGCCCCCAGGGTTCAGCGGCGTTTTCGTCCGGCGGGCAAACTTAGAACAAAAGTTACAGCGCACGCACTGGGTGCGCTTCTTAGCTCCCCGGTCCTGGGCGTGCGGCTGATGACTGCACTCCAAGTGCTCCAAGGATACAAAACCAAGCGCTTGCGCTTCGGCGGTAGTGATCTGATCACCCGAATGCCACGACCCACGTTCGGATCGCACGATCGTCGATCGCTCCTCATCGCAAACCCTGTCAGCAGTTCACCCTCGGGTATGTTCGCAAGAACCACATACACTGAGAGAGAGACAAAAAACCTTGTGTTCATGATGTGAGGCTCTCGTCAGACGTCACTCGATGACTCAATCCCCCTCACACAGCTCGCTCTCACCAACTCTCGCAACGTGTCAAGCCCTCAACACGGCCTCCGCTTCTCGCGCTGTTTGCGGTGGGAACGGCTTCGGCCGCGCGTCGGCCCGGACATACAACGGGTGCTGCGGCTGCTGCTGCAGGGTGACGTGCAGGCAGCAGATTCGCTCCGCTCCGGCTCCCTCGGACAAGATTTCCAGCACCTCTTGCACGCGCGCGCGCATCATGCGGGCTACAGCCTTGCTGCCTGGGAGGAGGCCGTTCCCCCAGCCGCATAGCACGCGGCCGGCACGGCGCGCCGCATCTGCGAGAGCGGCGTCATTGGCGAGCGCGCCCACTGGATCTGCGGCCGCCTTGAGTGCGGCTGGCTGCGTGCTGCGATAGGCAAAGAGGTTGCACACGAAGATGCTGTCGTGGCCCCACGCCATGGCGAAGCGGATCACGCGCCGGATTGTGGGATCGTCCGAATCGCCGTCTGCTGTGGATGGGTTGAGGCCGACGAAGAGCAGCGGATTACTCTGCCGTGCTGCCGCCGTTCCGCTGCTGCTCCACGTGCGCGTGAGGCCGTAGCGATAGACTCCATCGACCGATAAGGCTGCAGACCGCCCGACAACCGAGTGCTCAATCACAGGATGCTCCCTCTCCATCGGCGGGGCCGGCATCAGGCCATCTGGCGGGCGTCGCCTCCGCTTACAGGGAGAGGCGAGGGGTGTGGCTGGGCCGGCGGCGGTAGTCCTGGAGGCTTTGCCGCGCGCCACCGACATGGCGTCGCGCGGTGGATCGAGGGAGAGATTGCGTGATTTCGACAGCAGGTCGCCGAGGCGCAACGAAGTTTCGGGAAGTGCCCGCCGGTCTGGCGAGGTACTTCCAGAGCCTGCTGTGGGAACAGCTGACGCAGTCTCGTCGAGGCTCGGGTTGACTCGGCCAGACAAAACCCCGAGAGGCGTGGGAGTACCTCGCCAGCCGCCGGTTCGCCTTTGGTTCGTTGTTGTAGGTTTTGTCACGTATCAGGTATGTCACGTGGTGGCGTGAAAAGGGAAGAAGATTTCACAGTACTTTTAGGTAGGTAGGTAGTAAGGTGAAGAACAGCCAGGCTCGGACTGGACACCAACGCGGTATGGGTGGACGCTAGACAGATGATGACGACACGCACGAGCGACACACAGACACAAACAAGCTCACAAGACACACAGCCAGCTGGCTGCCACACACCCTGAGTCGGCGTACACATAACTCAGGGCCACATCCTCCCTGTCGCCCCCCCCAGCACTCCACGGTGCCAAGGGCACAAACAAGGGCACAACTCAAACAACAGACGACAGGAAGTGATGTGTGAGGCTAGAGCAGTTTGCTCCACCTCTAGCAATCTCGCCGGCCGGCGAGGCACGGACGAGACCGTATGTGGGGTCTAGTGAGGTGTCTATGGACGCTCTCCTCATGGGCTAGCGGCCTACCGCTAGCCCTTCTCGCAGTACTTTTGTCGTGCCGCCCCCCCCCCACACACACCACGACCCACACGCCGCCGCCGCCTTTCCACCCCCCGCCCCACCTCTTCCTGTGCTGCCGCCCCGTGTCCTTGGTTTGATCGAATTAGTTGAGTGAGCGCTCGCCATGGCCAGGGCGATCCCGCCCAAGGTTGTGCCGCCTTCGGCGCAGTTCATGGCGCGCCGACGCGCCGAAAATGCCGCTGAAACGGGCGGTGCAACAACGGGCGGTGGCGCAACCGCCGCAGCAACGCCTTGGGTCGGGCCAGTCGGCTGCGCTTCGTTCTCGTGCCTGACGAGCGCGAATGTCTGCTGCTACTGGCTCTCGTGCTGGCAGTACCACCTCCTCGAGGGGCGGCAGCGCTGCTGCGGCGCTTGCGAGACGTGGAGCAACTGGACGTGCGCCACGCTTCCGAAGCCAGCGAGCATCGCGAAGCCAGCCACGCTCGAGGCACTGAGCGAGGTGGTGAAGGGCGCGGCCGCTTCAGGGCAAAGCGTGCGCGTGGTTGGTGCGGGTCACTCCTTCAACCCGGGCAAACCTGCGCGCTTCGGTCTTCTCTTTCTCTACTCATTGCTTAGAGCTCATTAAACATCGCTTAGGCATCTGGACCGACGGCCTACTCGTCTCGCTGGACCGCGTTTCCGACACAGACGTGACGCCGGTCAAGGTCAACGGCGAGACACACTGTGCTCGCCATGGGTGGGTACCAGGTCACAGCAATCCCCTCACACCAGCCGCTGTGAATAGGCGAGACGCACGTCCACGTCCAGGGAGGGACTCGGATGCGCGACCTCACGCGCATGCTGTCGAGGCACGGCCTCGCCATCGCCGCGCTCCCGTCGCACAACGCGCAGTCGGTCGGAGGCATCCTGTCGACGGACGTGCACGGCGCGCTTAGACGCGGAATACAATCCCGCCGCATTCGACTGTATTCAGCTGTGTTCACTATATCCTTCAGGCTCGGCACGCGACGTCGGGCTCGGCTTCGTCTCGGATAGCGTGATTGGCCTCGACATTGTCGATGGCGCCGGAATGGTACACCACTGCAGCGCAGCTGACCCAGACACGCAGCACGGTTTCCGTGCCGCCATCGGCGGCATCGGTGCCTCGGGGATCATCGCCGGCGCAACTTTCCGCGTCGTCCCGGCGTTCTGCTTGCACAAGTCCGAGACGACGGCCGGGCTCCCGCAGACCCTCGCTTCGATCGAAGACCTCGTGGCGAGCAACGAGCACACCGCGCTGCTCGTCTTCCCGTTTGCCGATCAGTGCTTGCTGCAGACTTGGAACCGCACAGAGGAGGCGCCACGCTGCTGCAACTGCTTCGAGGTCGGGCTTGAGCTCACCAAGGAGAGCCTTCAGAACTGCGCCATCTCGTGGCTGCTCAGCCCGCTCTCGTCTGGAGGCTGCCTCCCGGGGTGCGTCGGCCGGCTGCAGCCCAAGATTGGCGGCTGCTTCCCGGAGCAAGTGCTCGATTCGGCAGACGCGTTTACCCAGACGCTGTACCCGCTCCACCAGGAGCTCGAGTTTACGGTTCCACGCGCAAAGACGGCCGAGGTGACGCGCGACGCGATCGCGCTCTACGAGAGCTTGTACCGGAGTGGGGCCGCCCGGCCCTGGATGGCCATTGAGGTGCGCTTCACGCCGCCAGAGCACAGGCAGTCCTACCTGTCTGCCGGGGCCGACTTTGGTGGAGAGCACTCGGGCGAGGCGGTTGCCTGGTTCTGCACCGTCGTTGCGCAGACTTCCGGCGTCGCCGAGTACAACGACGCGCTCGAGGCGTGCGCGATGCAGCTCGGCGCGGCGGCGCGGCGGCGCGGGGAGAGGCAGCGTCTCTCCAGAGCAACGCGGTGTGAACAGGCGTACGCGATGCAGCGCGGCGACGCGCGCATCCACCTAGGCAAGTGGGTCAACCTCTACTCGCGGCCCACCCTCGCTGCCGCCGTCGGCGAGCGCCTCTCGCCTCTCCGGCGCAAGCCACACTCTTCACATTCGCGGCGCTGTGAACAGGAGAGGAGCCGTTTGACGATTTCCTCGCGGTGCGCGACGCAGCGGACGCGCGGGCCACATTCTCAAACGCGCTGACCGAGCGGCTGTTCGGGCTGGCAGCCTAGAAGCGCTAAGCCGCCACGATTCGTCTTTCCACTTCTGACCGAGCATGATGTACCGGTATGTGCGAATTCTGGTTACGTTTCGGGGCATCCCGAGGAAAAAAATCACGTCCTTGCGTCCCAGCCGGCCTCGAGCGCGTTCCCATCTCCATGCTATCCAGTCTGCCACGCCGTGCCGCTCGGCAGCTCCGTGGCGTCGCGGCTCCGAGCCTGCGCGGAGCTGCGCGGCCGCTTTCGACCGCCCCGTCGGATGCGCCGGAGGAGGAGCCTGAGACCAAAAAGCTCACCATGGTCGCCGCAATCAACGACGCCCTCAGGTGCCACCGCCGCCATCCACGGCCCGGCCTCGGGGCCGCGACCGCGCGCCAGCGCCCTCGAGTTTGATCCGCCGCGCCGCATTCGCAGGATAGCGCTGAAGACCGACGAGTCGGCCGTCGTCTTTGGTGAGGACGTCGCCTTTGGCGGCGTCTTCCGCTGCACGATGGGCCTGCGCGACGAGTTTGGGGAGGAGAGGGTGCTCAACATGCCGATCAACGAGCAGGGGCTCGTGGGATTTGGGATCGGGCTGGCCGCGGTGGGTAGCACCGCCATCGCCGAGGTCCAGTTCGCCGACTACATCTTCCCGGCGATGGACCAGATTTGCAACGAGGCTGCTAAGTTCCGGTACCGCTCTGGCGCCGAGTTCGACTGCGGCGGGCTGACGATCCGTGCGCCGGCGCAAGCGGTGGGGCATGGCGGGCACTACCACTCGCAGTCGCCCGAGGCCTACTTTGCGCACACGCCCGGCCTCAAGGTCGTGTACCCCGACCCTGACCCTAACCACCTACCACCCTGACAACCCTGACGCCTGACCCCGACCCTAACCACCCTAACCCTCACCCCGACCCTATCCCTGACCCCGACCACGGCCGGCCCTCCAGGTCGTGTACCCGCGCGATGCGTACACCGCCAAGGGGTTGCTGCTCTCCTGCATCCGCGACCGCAACCCGTGCCTCTTCTTCTACAGAGACAGAGAGGGAGAGGGCGGAGAGGGGGAAAGGGGGAGCTGTGCGTAGGTGCCTCTTCTTCGAGCCGAAGATCCTGTACCGCTCCTCGGTCTGCGACGTGCCCACCGGCGCACACACGCCGCCGCTCGGCGAGTCGGGACGGGGCGGGCGGTGAGGAGTGGGGACTCCGCGACTGCAGGCGACTACATGCTGCCGCTCGGGGAGGCCGAGGTCCTCTCGCCCGGAGAGCACATCACTTGCGTCGCGTGGGGGGCACAGGCAGCCGAGTAGCCGAGCTGTAGCCGAGGTAGCCGGGCTGTAGCCGAGCTGCAACCGGGCCTGCAACCGGGGCTGCAACCGGGGCTGCAACCGGGGCTGCAACCGGGGCTGCAACCGGGGCTGCAACCGGGGCTGCAACCGCTGCAACCGGGCTGTGGCCGGGCTGTGGCCGAGATAGAGCGCCTCGCGTGCGCCGCGTGGGTGGTGCGCAGGAGCACAGCAAGGCATGCCCCGCCGTCCTCCGACGAGGGCCACGCCTGCTGTGCTGGCAGGTGCACACGATGGCGCGCGCGTGCGAGCGGGCGGCGGCAGAGGGCGTGTCGTGCGAGGTCATCGACCTGCAGACGATTGCGCCGTGGGACATGCACACGATCCGCGACTCTGTCCAGAAGACGGGCCGGTTGCTGGTGACGCACGAGGCGCCACTCACCGCCGGCTTTGGCGCCGAGGCTCGCCGCCGCTAGATCCCAGCCACCCCGCCGAGTGTTGTGCCGAGTCCCGCCGCAGCGAAGCCGCTCGGCTGTCGGATTGCGTCGCCCCGCCAGCAGCTGTGCTCGTGGGGCCGTGCCGAGGCTTCAGGCGCTGCGGGATTGCCCCACTCTGCGCCGCCGACCGCTCTGCCCTCCCGACGTAGGTTGCCGCCGCCATCCAGGACGCGTGCTTTGACCACCTCGAGGCACCGATCGCGCGCGTGTGCGGCGCCGACACGCCCTTCCCGCTCGCGTTTGAGAAGCTGTACCTTCCGGACGAGCTCAAGATTTACGACGCAATCATGCGGACGGTGCAGTACTAGCGGTAGCGCGGTACTCATGGCAGCAGCATTGTGGCACTGGCAGCAGCGATGTGTCCCCTCCCTCCAGTCGCGCTCGATTCACGCCGTCCAGCCTTCCCGCCCGAAGGGGGGGGGGGGCGGGGGGGAGTCGAGAGGCGCGTCAGCCTTTTCGCACCGCAGGGGGGGCGAGGGGACCGCCGCCCTCACTACTGCATGTCCGCCGCGCGCCGAGCAACGTCTAGCGCGTCCTGGCCTGCGACAGGCCGCGTGTGTTTTCTGCCGCTTGCGGAGTTGATGTCACGAAAGGTAGTTGCTAGTGGTCGATCCCGCGCCAGTCGTTCTCGTTGCCGGCGCCCAGCTGTGCGTGTATAAGCAGTGTCGCTACTCGTACCACTCTCGGAATCCTGAGCCCTGGCTGTCAGGCTGTCAGGTGCTGTCAGGTGATCTGTCGGGCTGTCGGGCAGCTGTCAGGCTGTCACGTTAGGGCCTGACAGCGACAGAGCCCCTCGACTGTCAGACTCTGCTGTCAGGCTGTCAGATACGTGCTGTCAGGCTGTCAGAGAAGTGCTGTCAACGCTGTCAGGCTGTCGGGCACTGTCAGGCGCTGTCCGGGGTTTGCTGTCAGGCTGTGTCAGACCAGGGCTCAGTCGGAATCTGCGGCAAAAGCAGACGCTCGAGTGTGTGGCACGAGCGTCGCGCCGCCGCCGGGGCCACAGCCGCACAGCCCCGACATACACAGCCCCGCCACACCCTGGCAGTGGCACACGCCCGGGGAGCCGTCGTGTTTTGATCAAGTTTTTGATCTCTCTCGGTGAGCGTGGGGGGCCGAGCCGCCCAGCCGCCTCGGGGTGGCGGGCGGGCGGGCGTTTTGAAAAACAGAAAAAAAACAGAAAGAAAACAATCCATCGGGGTGTGTGTGTGTGTAGTGTGTGGGGGGGGGGACCCTGGGCGTAGAAAATACGCCCAAGGGGGTCCAGAGGGGGGGGCAAGTGGAGGCGGCGCGGGGGAAGCATAGACACCGTGAGAGCAGGAAGGGCGCTTAGGATCGGCTTCGTGAACAAGGGTTTCCAGGGTTTTATTTAGATCACAGATCAGTATTGGTGTGAATGAACGGGGAACGGCACACATCCCCGCACGAGAGGTCAGCGGCGCGCAGTGCCTCTCTCGCAGGCTGGGTTTTGGGATTTGGCTATTAGTATTTTCGAGATTCGACCTTTCGAGCGCTTGTTTTTGTTTTCACATTTCAGAAAGTACGTTTCAGACTAGCACTGGGGGGGCCGACCCCCTCAGGCTCAGCCGAGAGGCGGCGCGGGGGCGGGCGCCCACTCGCCACTGGCCACTCGCAGTGAAACCACCCCGGGGCCAACCCGCTTCGGTTTCGTCGGTTCCAAGTGCACTAGGAACCCACGAAACCCGAAAAGAAAACGTGTAACCCCCTTCGAGTGTATCTCGAGTGTGAGGCGCCAACACTGGGCGTTGCCCGCCGTTCGAACCTGCCATGATGCCGGTAGCCGCCGCCCTTGCCTCCCGAGCCCGAGAGACCAGCCGCGCCGCGGCCCAGCGCCTCCTAGAGGTCGCCGCCCTCCCGATTCGCGCAAAAAAGAGAAGGGTGTGGGCGTGGAAGCGACACCGACGGAATGCGCGGCGGAAGGAGCGAGGGAAGCTAGACCCCGACCTAGCCTTCTACGGGGTACCCGCAGTCGAACCCAACTTGAGCCCGCTCGAGAGGGCAGACAAACGGGCGCAAAACCTGGGAATGGGGCCCCTCATCGACGAGGACCTAGCGCACCTGGGGATACCCGCGGCCTACACGTGGCACATCCCCATCACCGAGTGGAACGCGCTCATGAAAGCACTGCACGGAAACGGAATGAGCAAGGGCAAACAGAAGAGGGCAACCGGGAAGAAGGCGCACGAACAAGCCCATTTCGCCACCCTCAACGTCTGCGGCGGGGGCCTCGAGAGCATAGAGGGGGCGATGGAGGAGATACGGGAACTAAGGGAGAAGGGGAGCGCACCAATCCGCAACACGGGACGGGAGGCAACAAAGAAGCTAGCGGAAATTATCAGGTACATAAAAGAAGGAGGGGTGTGGCTTGCCACGTTGGCGGATACGCACCTAGGCGAGAAGGAAATGCACGAAGTGATAGAGTACCTGGAGACGATGGGGATAGAGGCGTGCGGAACCCCAGCCTACAATGACCCGGCCTCGCGCGCGCTCAAAGCGGGGGTGTTGATTGTGTGGGACTCAGACCACCTGCAAGCAAAGAGAGACGGGAAGGGTGAGGTGGCCATGGAAGAGGTGGTGAGAGGGCGCGTGGTGAAAGTGGAGATGGAGGACGCGGCAAGCGGACTGGAGTGGACACAGATAGGAGTCTACATGCCAGTGAGGGGACGGGCTAAGATAACGGTGGCGGCGAGAGGAGGAACGGACGACACAGAAACAAAGGACCCAGCGCAAGACGCGTGGGAGAGCCTAAGGGACGAGCTAGACAAAATCGACGGGGAGTACATGATCGGTGGAGACTTCAACGCCGAGACGGAGGCCTTCCTACGAAGCAGAGGTAAAAAGGAACTGACTCTCTCAGACAAGATGTTCAACAGCATGCTGACCGAGGTGGGGAGAGACCTGAGAGCGATGGCGAACGACGCAACGTACCGGGCGGGCACGCAAATTGACAACTGGATAGTCACCCCGGCGCTAGCGAATGTGATGGGGCGCGTACACATCATGCCAGGGGTATGCGGGAAAGACCATGAGATAGTGGCGGTTGAATACTACGGGGCGGACGACCCAGAGGGAGAGCGGGAATACCGACCGAAAGGAGTCAGCCGGAAGCTGGACCGAGACGCCGAGGAGGCGTTCACGAAGACCGTGCAGGAAGCTTACGACGGCGCGCTGCAACCGCGCCGAGGCGAGACACCGGCAGAGAGGCTGAAGGCGATGACACAGGCGCTCACGGACCACGCCAAGGCCGTGATAAAAGAGGCGCAGGACAAGTTGCGTCTAGAGAAGGAAGGGGATAAGGGCGGACAGACCGGCGAGGCGGACGAGGAGGGGGAGGACCAAGGGGGGGGCGGGCAGCGGGACACCCAACGACGGGGACGACCCCCCATGTCGCAGAGGGAGAGACTGCGATGGAAGATAGCAAAGTGGAGACGGATCACGCACGCGGTCCGAAAATGGAGCGGAACGTTGAAAACGGCATACACAAGGAAGTGGGGGGGGAAGGGATTTTGGACACAGGAATGTCTCAGCAGCCTCTTACAGAAGATTGACACGCCGGACCTCTCCAACAGCGACAGACGGAAAGCGTTACTAGAGGAGTGTGAGACACAGATCGGGAAGGCGACCTCCGAGTTCCTCGACTGTGAGGTGGAGAGAGGACAGAGATTGACGGAGAAGATGGAAGAAGTGGTCGTCGAACTGCACGGCAACGTACACATCGCGGTATTCGACATCGTACACACCGAGTCAGGAAGGAAGGCGAGGGGGGGAGAGCTTAGAGCAATGTACGTCGAGGGAGAAGAAGAGGTGACATGCCCGAGAACCAAGCAGAAGGTGAAGAAGCGGAAGGTTGTCCGAGGGGGGGCAATCCGAAAGGCGGCAGCGGAAAAGGGGAGGGAGATTAATAAGAAGCGAGAGGTTGACATGAAGGCGGTAGAAAAGCTGCTAGAGCTGACCCAACCCGAGACGGGGGGACAACCCACACCGAGCGAGGGGACGGAACGACTGAAGGAGGAGGTACTCACGTGGGCAGCGTGCGAGAAGGCCATAAGACGATTCAAAAAGGGCAAGGCGGTCGGCTCGGACCTACTCGACGGATACCTACTGCGCATAGCAACGGAGGACATTCAAAGAGACTACTGGCGTCTGCTGGTAGAGATTGTCGAGACAGAAGCGTATCCGAGGGAATGGAATGACTGGATTGCGATGCTAGCGATGAAGCCGGGGGAGGACCCGAAGGAGCTCGAACGAAGGCGCGACCTCTGGGTCCAGCCACAGTCGTTAAAAGGTCTCATGCGCATGCTCCTACCCGAATACGATAGAGCGTGCGCGAGAGTAGTCCCCGGATCGCAATGCGGCTTCACAGCCGGGAAGAACGCGCCAGCGCAGACACTCACCGCGCGCCTGCACGCAGAAGAGTGCATGATAGAGAGAAAGATGTGCGTGAGGGGATACATCGATCTCGGGACCTACTTTATGAGTGTAGTACACGAAGTGCAATGGAAGGTGGAACAATGGGCAGGGGTACCGCCCGACGTGACAGCTGTGATGAGGGCGCTAAGGGAAGGACTTGGGGAGGAGCTACCCTCCCTCCAAGGTAGATACGAGACGGGCTATGGACTGAGCGACCGATTTCCCATCGAGCAAGGCCTCGGCCAAGGGTGCCTCCTTTCGCCCGCACGTAGCAAGCTCATGCTGGCCGTGATGCAGCGAACAGTCAGTAAGCTGTGTAGAGGATTTGATTTCACAGCGGCGGGTGAGAGCGTGCCGCAGCTAGTGTACGCCGACGACGGCCTGTTCCTCAGCAACGACATAGCCACGATGCAGCTCGCGCTAGAGTGCGCCTGGTTAGTGACAAAGATCTGTGGCAACAGCCTCCAGGTCAAAAAGAAGAAGAAATCGGCGTGGTCAGCGACATACTGGGAGAACAACGAAGAGCGGGATGTCGAGGGCTACGAAATGAGGATGCCGGATAGCATGCCGATACCACAGCTGAAGGGAGACGAGAGATACAAATACCTCGGAACGGAGCTAAGGACCGGGTGGGCAAACGGCGAGGGCCAGACGGAAATGAGGGAGCGGTGCGTAGCGGACTGCAAGAGAGTAATCTGGATCATAGGCAACCTACCGCACTTGACAGGAGAGCAGATCCGACGCAACATGGCGCTAGCACTGAGCGGCATTATCGGCTACTACGGCCGGTCCACGGTCATCACATGGGAAGACTGCCAGAGCATCGAACAAGTGAGGGCGAGCGCCCTAAACGCAAAAGGGTACTCGGTAGGAATCCCGCGACTACAAATTTACGATGTGAAGGAGAGAGGAGGGATGGGAATGGAACACGCGTACACGTACGCAGCGGCGGCGCTGATCGATCAAGTGGACCGGGCCCTCAGCGCGGTGGAAGGGGAACCAGCGAGGGTGGCCGTGGAGAGCAGCCTAGCGCACACGTTGAGGAGGCTGGGATGCCGAAGTGACAACCCGCTGGAGTGGAAGCCGAGCTGGGACTGGGAAAGGGAGCTCTCGGACGAACTAATGATCGAAGCATATCTAAAGGCAAAATGGAGGTGTGGGGTGGAGACGGTCACGACAGCGGGGTGGGAAGAGAGCAAGAAGGGGCCGCTCAGACCCGAGGCGTGGAGAACGACCGAGAGCCGAAAGAGAGTACTGGGCCCGCTCCTCTTTGAGACAAGGAGTCATGGCTGGAATAACCAAGGCCTCGCGTGTGACTTTGCACGTAACCTAGCCAAGCACGGGATAGCGACATGGTCGGACGTGTCAGAATGGGGCACCGGGGAAGTGTTGACGTGGCCGCAAATGAAGCGAGTCTATGGCCTCAAAGACAACACGACGGAACATAGCGAATACAAGAGGCTGGCGGAGCAGCTGGAGCGACCAGAGTGGGCGCAGCTGCGACAATACTGGAAGTGGGCGGCCATAGAAGAGCGCGCACACGGACAGAAGACGGAACGGAGGGCGCCCGATAGGGTGCGGAAGGTGAAGGCGGCAAGGAAGGCGCCGACCTGCTACGGGGGAGGCACGGAGGAGGACGAACACGGATGGGAGTACCTCTGCGAATGGGAAGGCGAGCAGAGCGACAGCTGGGTGTGGCACGATAAGATGCCCCACACATGGGAGCGGGAGCTAATGCACGCGCAAGGCGCGAGACGGCAAGCGGCGTCCTTCCGAGAGTGGCTAGAACACCGCAGAAGACTAGGTAGATCGGGGCCGGAGGCAGCGCAAGCGGACAGAGCACTAGAGACGTGCGATGGAGAGAGTAATGCTCCGTCGTGGAGCGACGTGCTCGATCGATTCATTGAATACAGCAGGGAGGCAAACGGGGTGTGCACAAGCGCACCCAACATGACAGAACACACGTTCGAAGAAGGGCGAACCAGGACGGACATCCGAGTGGAGGGGAAGGCCAGGACGCTCTACCTCGGAGGGAAGAAACCGGCGCAAGACAGCGGCACGCACCTGGGGTCGAGAGAGGACGGGGACAATCGAGTGATAAAGCTGGAGGGGACCCCGGGCCTCGATACCAACGCGACATGGGAGGAGGAGATACCCGAGCAAAATAAGATCACGAAGGACGCGGTGAGAAAGATGATGGAGAGACAGGAGAGGGAGCGACAGGAGGGGAGCCTCGGGGCGGATGAGACGTTGTTCCCAGAGGGGGCGCCCCAGAGACACATAAACTGGAAGAAAGAAGACTACGAGCTGTTCGTGGGGCACGGACACGGGGCGAGCGCGATCAGAGTAGGGGAGCTACAGGAGGACCCCCTAACGCGCTTCTTGCTCCGATACGACGAATTTGAGACGGGGGGAGAGCTGAAGGACGGCAGCGGGAAGCGAATTAAGATGGGAAAAGACAGCGAGCCGCTGCGGTCGGGGAAGGGACGAGCCATGAACGTGAAAGTAGCGCAGACATGCCTCGCGCTGCACGTCTCACACCAGTTCACACACTTTGCGGCGACGGACGGAGGAAAGGACCATGAAGACAAAAGGGCGGAGGATGGAAAGTACGTGCCGAACCCTAGGGTGGCGTACGGCGTGTTCGAAGGACCGACACGATTCGGAAAGAGCGTCCCGGGAGACGCACAGGTAAAGGATCCCAACGGAATCGGACCCTGTGAAGAAGGGGAGATACGGATAGCGTTTGGGGCGGGAATGTGGGGAGGAAAGCTGCCGAACATGTGGGAGCCGATAGACGCGGAGATGTACGCGATACTCGCATACTTACGCAAAATGGCGAGCGCGAGCGACGCGCAAGCGCGGCGGTGCTTAGTGCTATGCGACTGCAAACCCGCGCTGCAGCAGATTGAGAATGCGCACCGCAAAGGGATGCCAGAAGGCCTGAGGGACTGGGAGAGAGGCGGACTGCTGGAGGCGATCGCTTACTATAGATCGAAGCTAGAGGCGGTGGTCTTCATGTGGGTGCCAGCACACGTGGGAATAGCCTGCAACGCATACGCCGACGCGGTGGCGACAGCGCACCTCGGGGATAACGACTCAGAGGACGCCTCGAAAGTGGTGCGGGACGCGGTGCGGACGCGGCCATGCATGTACACGGTGCGAAGGGAGGCGGCAGAGAACGCAGAGAAGAGGGAGATAGTGGACCGACGGACGTACGGACACATGTGTAAGAGCGCGCACGAGTGGGTGTGCGAGCAATATCGAAAGACAGTGAGGCCAGGATCGCACACGGCAGGGGTGGCGGGACGGTTGTGGAGCGAAGTGGCAGTAGCCAGCCTCAAGCATCGATGGGATAATAAGATGAGATTACCGGACGAGAACGGGGGGAAGGACAGGCGGGCGACATTTGACGACGTCGGGGATCACAATGTGACGACCAAAACGATCTTGGGGGCCAGGGTGAGACAACAGGTCGGGGTGCCACATGGGGCACACCACAGGCGTATTCTAGAGGGGGAAAAGAAACGGGGAATGAGGGGCCCCGCCACGAGAAGTGCGTTCTGGGGATGCAGAGCGTGCAAAGCGGCTAGGGATGAGGTCGCAAAAGAGGCGCGCGAGGCAAGGAGGAGACGCGGGGAACTGAAAGACTGGGACGACTGGAAACAAGAAGACAGTGAGCCACCACAGGCGTCGTTGGCGCACATACTGAGCGGCAGCTGCGCTGGAAATAAGGAAGAGGCGCGTCACTTCATGCGGAAGCTCGACAAACACACAGCGAGGGCGACAGCAAGAGTTGAACGGGAGGCGCCGGACTCAAAAGACACCGCCACATTCCTGAGACGAGCGAGGGCAGCCTCCTTAAAGGCGAAAGGGTCTAGATTTGGGGCGCTCGCCGAAGAGGAGTACGACAAAATAGCACCCGTGATTGCCTGCACGCTACCCGCACTCACGGACTCCATACCCGAAAGAAAGAGAAGGGAGCTCGCGGGAGAGGTGACGAGTGAACTACAGGTAGTGGGGAAGGCAGCCTCGATTGCCATACAGACATGGGTGCGAAACAACGACAAGACCAAGGCAAGGGCAGAGGAACGAGAGAAGAATATAGGGTGGATAAAGCGCCTGTTCACGGCATGGAGGGTGAGCCACGCCGAACGTACCGAGCGAAGGGCCGAGCGGAAGGAGGACGGGGAAGATGACTCAGAGGAGGACGAACCAGTGGAAATTCAGTTGTCAGATGTCACGATGCATCCGAAGGGGACCCCAGCGCCGGCATCATCCGTAGAGGCACGAGTGTTCGAAGAGAGAGTGGACCTGAGCAACAACATGACGTGTAGGCAAATGATCGGAGTGGGAGTCAGAAATGTGGTCCTTGCGCGAGGGGAGCTTGATAGACTCGAGGGGCCAGGATACGCCGCGAGGAGGACGGAGTTGCGCAAGGCGAAAGAAGCCGCGAGAACAAGGGACCGGCAGGCGGCGGCGTCGCAGGACGAGACAGAAGAGAACGACGCGACAGAGGAGGAAGTGACAAGGGAGAGACCGACGAGAGTGGGACGGCCGCGAGGTGGCATGAAGGTTGCAGCGAGAAGCGGCGAGAGACTGCGAAAAGAGATACGAAGAGGCAGACTCCCCAGGGTGGGCGACGGCTAGCGCACCACACTCCTCTCCTTAAAATCCCTGTGTGGTGGCGGCGTGCCGTTCTCCCATCCCTCCCTTGGGTTGTGTGTTTTCTTTCTTTCTTTTCCTCTCCCATCCCTCCCTTGGGTTGGCTGTTTTATTTCTTTCTTCAGTCCTCTAGGTTTGTTGTTGGCAAATCAAGACACGGAGCTCAGCCTCTAAATTTCTCGGGCTTTTTTGGAGCACTAGGAAGATGTGGCCAGCTCGTGGGAAGGCAGCCCCCGTGGGAACGCCACCCCCCATTAGAGGGGCACGCCACCTGGCCCACCCCCGCTCCTAATTGCGCACGGGAGCGGTGCACCGGAGCGGTGCGCAGTTTCATATGAACTGCACCGCTCCGAGTCGGGAGTGGTGCAGTCCGGCGCACCTCCGCCGCGCCGAGCGTGGAGCCCTCCACCGAGCCGAAGGCTCGCGCCGACGCGCCAGCGGCATCGTACGGGATGACGGTCGCCTCGCCATGTCGATCTCCGCGCACGCGGCGCGCTCGATCTCCGCGGTCGGCTGCCGCAAAAGCGGCTGGCTCACGACAGCGT